GGGGTCATGCAATCTCACTATATCCTGCTATGCAAAGGTGATAAAGACCTGTAATTTCTAGGAATCGCATTCTCTTGTTCTGGAGTAGTGGGCTGTGGAAGGGCTAACGCACTGGTTTAATTTTTCTCTTCCCTCAGTAGTGGGCTGTGGAAGGGCTAACGCACTGGTTTAATTTTTCTCTTCCCTCAGTCTTCAGATCCCCTTGGATACGATACGGTCCAAACAGTTTATCTCAAGGCTGCAAAGTTGCTCCTTAGATCTAGAAAACTTGTCTGCTAGTAAACTCAGCAGCACATTGGTGCCTGTGTTAGAGAGGTCTTCTGAGGGACACATGAGAGTATACCACCTACACACTGCAAGACTGACTTGGGGAAAAACTAGTGTTTTTTTCTATTCAATCGGGAGCTAGGGACGTTCTCAGCTCTCTTCTGATAAATAGAGAACAATTTAAAATAACCAAAGATCTTAGTTCTTTTATTCCAATCTCCTATTGGTTGGCAGGCAAGTGGGGGTCTTGCATAGGGACTGCTCATGCTCCATAGGAATCAGCTGTTACCCTGGCTGTCTTCTGATCTTCTAAAACTGGTATTTATCTTCAAATGTAGCACCTTACGATGCAGTTTGTCTCTCACTAGAAGTCAATATTTAAGAGTAACATGCCTTTCTAATCTAGTTCTAGTTCATGTACTTACTGGGGTTGTTTGAAAATTTTCTAGGTCTCGTTTGTCACTGAGAGGAAAGGACATATAAATGCAAGTAGTCCCATACTTGCCATTTATTTCCTGTAAAGGATATTGTCTGAGGGGCCTGAGCAAACTAGCTAAGGATGGGTATAGTTCCATAGAGTCTCCAATTACAGCTGGCCTAGAAGCTCCACCCTCAGCACCCAAAGTGTGGGTAGGGGAATCCTCAGACTCTCTAACAGTGGGCAAGGCTTTGACTAAACTTGCCTTGGAAACACTATCCTCGGGTTAAGGGGCAAGGAGTAGCCTCAGGCTCAGTGGTAGTGAATGCCTTAAGGACCAGGTGTCTAGCTTTCCATGGTTTATATTTACATTCTGAACACAAGCAAGGATTAAAGTCTGAACAAAAGGTGATTTTAACCATTCTTTTTTTCTTACAATTTTTAGTTGTGAAACAGTATCATAATCAATACTTACCTCTGTGTTCCACTTTGTCAGCTTTATCACTCTTTTTACTTCGGTATATTTTAAAGGAGTAATGGATTTTGACATTGACTTCCTCTGCTGTGGTACAAAAGAAAGACTTTGTGCCCTCTAAATTCTATTTGCTTTCAGTACCATTAAGGCAATCCCTGAGTAGATTTCACTACAGGGAAGGTGGCTGCAGTCTGGAAAGAGACCCAGAAGACAAATCAGACTGGACTATCAACCCTCTTACCAGCTGGCACCATCTTTCCAGGGAACTCAGGCTCTCGATCCTGTAGGAATTCTTAAAGCACAAGTTCAACTGATTTCAGTGGTAACGATATGTTTTAAAGAATGAATTATTGCTAGCAAAACCAATAATCAGGAGATCTAAATCACTGCTTTTTAATTCCTGAGTTGGAGACAGATGAAAGGGCGGCATTTTCCATCCTGTAAAGATCACCTCCAGAAGCAAAAAAATAGCTCATAGTAATTTCTCCGATGAAGAGTCCTCCAAGGCACCTATGTCACGTAGGCAACCTTCCTTAGCTGCAAGACAAGACTACTCTTTATTCAAGGTTTAATCTAAAATTTCTGCCTCTGAAGCTTCACATGTTAAACATACTCAGGGCTTAAGCAGTCACAATTCACATTAGTAAAGACACATTTATCAGTTTCCTGTGCGCACATGAAGAGAAAGGGTGCCTAAAATTCCTTTTTGTTCTAGTTAGAATATTAAAAAAACAAAGTATAAGTTGCTAGCTGATTGCTATTTTCCTTCAGGAAGGGCAAAGTGTTGCAAGCTACCTCAGCCTTACTTCCTGGGAGGGGTGGTCTTACTACAACACGGTTCTAAAGTTGACTACCTACCTCCAAATGAATGAGAGAAACGCTGAGGGGGAGTTTCTAACTTACTAGCAGAGACAGAAGTACAAATAAAAGCCTAAGCCGCCTAACAGCCCCCCATCATTAAATAGCATTTTCGCTTACAGTAAAGATTTTAAAATCTACAGCTTATTAGCAAAAGTATTCTCTTCACCTATACACACAAATGTTGTGTGTAGCTACTCAGTGTTACGTCAGTAACTCAAAAGCTCCCATGAGGGCAAATGCTGACAAATGGGAGCAGTTACGAACTGTCTGAAATATTTTAAACCATCTATCTTTTCCAAAAAGCTTCTTTTATTACTAAAAAATGCAAATTCTTATTTCTTTAACAGGGAGAATTCAAACGGGCTGATAAAATCATTCCCTTAAATTTGTCTGTGAAGTAGGAATGTGGATCATATACAAAGCACAAGAGAACAAAAACAATTTCAGCTGCCTTCTCAGATGACATACTTATGACCACATGCATCAATTTCAGCATGTGATCTCACAGGTTAGAACTACCCTTTCCGTCAGTCTACCTGAGACTAATACCTTGACAAAAAAGAAACTGCCACTGCTTAAAAATGGCATCGATTTATGTCACTGGAAACTCCAGGCTCATCACTGTTGGCCTCCACTAAAAAGGCCAAGCAGGAAAAATATAACCCTGTTACCCTGAATCCAAGTACCACCGTTAAACTAAATGCACAAAATTATGGGGAACAGCACATCACTTGTCATGCCCAAAGTGGCAATGTGCCACTCTTCTAATTGCAGCTGATGCTATTTTCATATTTAGGAATATTCTACCATTTCAATTCTTTAAATTAATTTATTTTGGTACCAGGGATCGGACTCGGGATCTTGTGCTTGCCAGGTAGGCAGCAGAATCACTGAGCTAAATCCCGAAGCCCTACAATTTGATTTTTAAATGAACACAGGTCAGAAGAGTATCACTGAGAGTTGACCAGAAAATTTAAAAGTTTATTACAGCGAAAGATACATTTCCAAGAATGGTAGGATAAAGGGTGCTATGAAGCAAGAGGGAATATTTTGAGAGGGATTAAAGGCAATCATTTTTTTTCTTAATAAATTTCTTTGTAGATCATTTACAGCAACTTTTGTTAAAAACGCGCTGAGTCCTCAATCCACCCTATTCACTGGGTTTGGTACCACGCAGAGCTAACATGTGGCTCTTTCCCAAAGTCAGAATAGCCACAAAAAGTAAATGTTTTCAATGGATTCAAGACATGAAGACAGCCACAACAGGACAACTAGAGCCACAAGAGAGACTTTCTAGACCAGCTTCAGAAGGTGGCGGGAATGCTGAGACAAGCGAGTTTGAAGCGAGGGGCTGCTACCGGATCCTGGGGCTCTGGGGTGTCCTTCAAGGGGTGCTTCCTAGGTTCCCTGTCCTGAACAAAGAACCGCTCAAGACAAGCAAAAAAGGTAGCCAGATTTTACATTTATTAACGGTAGGAAATCAATATACTCGCAGAGTGAATGCGTGTCAATTAAAAGCAAGAGAAGAATTACTCTCTGCAAAGTGTGGACTGGCCACCAGCTTAATGGAGTCTGTCTTTTTTAAATATATTTTGTATTGGTACATTTTAGGCATACAATTACATTCATCATTGGGATCGTGTACCTTTACGGGACGCATCTTCTTATTTCTTCCCCATTCCCTGGCCCTCCTTTTGTATTTCCATGCCTCAGGCCGTCAGGTCCAGGCTGTCCTGTCAAAATTCTGCTAGGCCCTCACCAGAAGAACTGGAAACACCACTCCCTGATGGGTCCCGGGTGCAGGGCTGCACACACGTCTCCTGGATCTCCACGACTGACAGGTCATATTCCCTCGCCCGGCCAGCTGGCCACGCTCTAACCTCCTTCCTTGGGGGACTATTTTGAGAATGATTCCTTTCAATGTGTTTTTAGTGTAATAAGTTATTTAAAAATTAAATATTCACCACATTTCGTTCACATTTAAAATTACCTTAAAAAATTCAGTCATCCTACACCCATCCTCTGGTTTCAATTTATGCTTTAGTGATTTATTAACTTATTCCTCCTTGACTATAAGGGGGCAGGAACCTGTAGCCGCGGTGTCATCAACAGTGGCTAGCACATGGCTGGTACTTATTGAAACATTCGGAGAACGAGTGGTTCATACTAATTTATTATTTGATGTACCCAAAACTTAGCCTGTCATACTATTATATAAGCTTTATTTAAAACAAACAATAAAAGGTCACTTTAAATAACCAGGTATTCCATATATTCACGTGAATATGTTTTATTAAATGCAGACTAGTATTTTATATAGCATGTGAGCATACATAATAAATTAAAATGTATATATTTATTAAATATAGGTAGATATAATACCACAACATGGTTATTTCAGATGAGAAATGAAAATAAACCCATTTTAATGTATCTTTTGGTCAATCCAAACTGATACTGCTTATAAAAAATACACCAATTTTCCCTGGGGAAAAAAATTAATTCCATAGCAATGTAGTTAAGGGACATTTTTTATTTCATAGCTTTTTGCAAGCAAAAATTGCTTTATTACAAAATGAGTTCAATGATACAGGTGCTACTGTCCACTCAAGCAAAAGAAAACCTCAAATTTATATGACTGCACTTTATGCTTATATTCTTACAGTACAATAGGCCTAGCATCCAGGATGCTTCTGGCTGGCTGCCTCTAAAGCCACGGCACAGAAAAGCTATCTCGTTCTTGAGTGTCATGGTACTGGCAAGTGCTTAAGTAAATGCCTGTGAGTTCTCTGTCAGATACTACTAGAAGAATTGTGTGTGGATATGTTTGTCTTGCTGCCCTCCAACTTTCACTTTACATTTCTATCACCTTAAAATATATCCCTGGTCTGTGTCTTCCAGCTGTTTGGAATTTCCGTAGAAAACGAGAAAATACATCATGAGATGTCCTTAGTGTCAGCTATCGATGTAGCGCTGTGGTCGTCAGAGAGAATGGAGACTTACCTGTAGTACAGTAACTGACTTTAGTGTGTGCTTAGTGTGCATGTTAGGTGCAGAAATGTTAGCTCACATCAAACTCTTTCTTCCCTATCACATATGATGTGACTTTAGCCCCAGAATATCTGACCAAAAAATGATACAGATCAAATAAAAAGGCATATACACAGATAAGGCCATCTGCAGAATTTTCAACTCATCTCCTGGGGTATTTCACAATCATTTCTACATCATACTTTACACTGTTCAAACTTAAATAATAAATGTTTAAGGAAGGCCCAGAGGAGCAGACTGCACTATCTCTTGGAGGACTTGTCCAGTCTGCTGCCAGGTGATCTCCTCTGAGGTGTGGGGATTTTGGAAGGCTTGCCTGTGGATGGCCGAGAAGCTGCTCGGGGTACAGGTCTGTGTGTCTGGGGGACCGGCTCCACATCTGAGCACACAGACTGGATTTCCGAGATGTCAAAGTCGGACGCATCACTGCCTCTGCGGCTGCTGGCCCTGCTGCCAGCTTTGCTGCCAGCACGGCTTCCGGGTCGGCTGGGCGTCCTCCTGGGATCTGAGAGAGAGCAGAGATGGGTCACCTCTACCGCTGATTCTTCCCCAACTCAGACTTGAAGCTGACCCACCTTGAATCTCAACCTTTCTTTCTGACACTTTCTAGGTACACTTTCTCTGTTACACAGGGCAGGGAGCCTCACTTTAACTATACATAATACAGCAAAAGCTAGGTATACATACATAAGGTAAGTTTCGGCTTACCTCACTTAAAACAGAACTCTGTTTATTACAAACAGACATAAGAAATGTACCTGTCACGTGAGCTATGCCTTCTAAAGTTTAGCAAGTGTACCCTCTACACATGGGGCAGACTCCAGGTTGAGGTCTTGCCTGAGGACAGGTAACTAAAGCATGCAGGAATTTAAAAGCAAAGACTTAGAAGTTTAAAGAAGCTTCAGACTAGCTGAGCTCAGGACTCAAGCGTTCAGAAGCTCACTATTCTGTGAAGATTCGTGAGAGGTGAGAGGTGCTGGTGTAAGGCCCAGGATGGCTGGGCTTTCCAACCATCTGACAAAGAGCCCCTTGCAATGTCCAGGCAGGAGCCCAGGCTAGGCTGTCCAGTTTGACTGGGTTGAGTATTGTGTCTTCTTTTCTTATGGTCCACAGTCATTCTCTTATCTTTCTTTTGTACTTTCCAAAAGGTATTTCTTAGTCACCTGCTCCCAAAGCTCATTCATCCTGACTTTGTTGGATGTCTAGAATTTTAAGAATGCAGCAACTCAGAATCTCCTTCCTTTGCTGGGGGTGTGGATCAGTGGTAGAGCACTTCATGTACAAGGCCCTGCCCTTAGGACTGCAAAGAAAAAATAATTGTTCCCCAGTTGGGAAGAAAGGGGATCTTCATCTATTAGTCTACTGCAAGCCATTAAGAAAGAAACAGCCTACTTACCAGCAAACTGTGTTCGGACTCTGGCAGCTGCCGCTGTGATCAAGCCACTCTCCTCTCCAGAGTGGAAGCCTTTTCCTGATAAATACCCTGGAAGTCGCAGCTTGCTGCCTTGTATTGGTGTTCCCTGTATTTAAATGAGAAAAGACGTCTCAAGAACTTGCTCAAGTTCACAACATTCCACTGACACCACTTCTTCACAAATGGTGGACATCTACACAAGACTTCTTCAGGAGGTAGAAACTTTTCAGTTAAGGCACAGGGCTCTTGCTTGTTTCTTCCTCCCACTTTTCATTCTCAGTGACTTCATCAGAAAACCTCCAAAGGAAATGAATTTGTGGTTGAAGAGAAAATACAAAAATGAAGGTCCCAAAATAACACAAAAGTGATGGCAAAGAAAAGAAATCAGACTGGACACAGAGATCTTCCAGATCAGTAACTGAGCAAGTACTGCAATTCCAAGAGTCACTGCACAAAGGATGGATGACTTTCTGAGGTACAGAGGGGATGGGGACTCTGAAAGCTTTGTCTGGAATTCTGCTCTAACATTTAACTAGGCAGAATTAAACAAACAGAAACAGAATGCAGAGTACACAAATGATGCCCAGAGAGCCATTATTCAAACAAACTTAACTGAAAAAGGAAAAGAAGTGTGTTTTATATTGGTGCCATATTACTTCACTTCTCAGCTGTACCATTTCCATGGTCCTATGTTCAGGATCTACAGGCATGGGCCAGGGATGTGGCTCTGTGGCTCTGTGGCTCAGTGGCTCAGTGGTTCCGCTGGCTGCCTCGCAGGAGAAAGGTCCCGAGTTTGATCCCCGGTTTAAAAAAAAAAGGATTTGCAGGCAACTTTTTGGGATAATTCTTTTTAAATTCTTGTAGGAGTTTTCAGAGAATGTCTAAGCAATCATAAGACTTTACAACAAGTCCGAAATCATTGCATTTTTCCATATTACAACACTGCGAATATTCTGACAAGGTTGAAAAAAAAATAAACCTCTTAAAGAGTATTACAGATGTCACATTCCTCAATTAACATGCAGCCAAGGAGCTATTTGTAGGTAATAAATCTGTACAGATTGTATGTACATTTAAAAATAATTTTCTTTTTAAAGATAGTTTTAAATGCTTAATAATACATAGGACCTTTTGATACAGTAGAATTGCATTTAATAATATAAATGGAATGCTAAAGTGCTCAAAATACTTTCACATACAGAACCATAATTAACAGTCACTCACCTAATCACTTTTTTTTTTTTTTACAAATTTGAGAAATTAGGGCCCAAGGAAGAACATAATATGACAACGCTGCCTAGCTAAATTTCTAATTTAAAAGAATTTAAACAATCCATAAGGGAACATGGGCACATATCACTCATGGTGGCAGAGTTTATTCCCATGAAAGACCAACATCTTTCTTTCTTTACAGAACGAAACATGTAATTTTGCACTAGTCCAAATAATACATTTTAATTTGAGAGAGTTTCTACTTTTTAAAAATTTGGAGCTGGGTATGGTGGTGCACGCCTGTCATTCAAACATCTGGAAGGCTGAGGCAAGAGGATCACCGGGAGTTTGAGGCCAGCCTGGGCCACAACGGGAGGAGCCCCTGCCTTAAAAGACAAAACAAAATTGAACATAGCATCTTGGTTCTAAATTAAAAAATAATAGGAAGTCTGATCGAAAATTGTGATTTAAACTTTAAAAAATCATGACAGTAAAAACCACATCGCCACTAACCTCCCCCAGATGCTCTCCTTCACTTCAAACACACTCACCCGCCCTTCTCGCCACTTTCTGAAGCAGCTCTGGAAGGCCTTCTTCGTGAGCATCTTTAGTTGTGCTGCTGTGGCTGCCTTACTGTCCTGAAATGCCTCCAAATGTCTGCCTTTCACGGTCATTTGACTCGGGAGGAGCCAGACTGTGCACAGCGAATAAGGCGGAAGAGGACACATCGTGCGATTTGGGTGAGCCTGCCTTTCTCCCGGACAGTACTCAGCGGCAGCAGTCACCGTATCTGAAGTACACTGCACAAAGACACTCACAAAGGAGGACTTCCAGAACCACTTCCAGAAGTGGCGAGAATGACGGAGTAAGTGTGTTTGAAGCTGCGGAAGGGAAGCTTGAAGGGGATTGACAGCAATGTGTTTTCCTATGGTAATACATTTTTACTTAAACATTCAGCTTATACTTCCATCTAACTGTAGGTAGGTTGTTGCTATAATCCAACTATAACAACTGACAAGACAACTCTAGATGGCATCTATGGCCCTAACATTCCCCACTGAGGGTGGGAATGGGAACGAGGAGCTTCGAAAAATGAAGAGGAAGAAACAGGAAAAGCTGAAGAATGAAATGTCTCTACCACTTAGTAGCAGTGAGACTGCCACGAAATTATCAAGGTAATGTACTCTTCTCTGGCTACCTCTTACTATTAACGTGCTGTACAAGAGTCTCAGCCTTTGAGCTGTATTTAATTAAGATGAAATAGTCTCCTTCATTTCAAGAAAAAATGTTTAGCAAGTTTTTCCTAATGATTGTGACTAATAAAACATGTGACTCTTTGGACCTATGCGTGTCATTTCAGAGGAAAGTGTGCAACAAAGATACGTGACTGACGTCTAATCAAGTGTACGGTATGTGAGTTATGTCTGATAAATTTTACAGCCCCTAAATATCTTATGCCCAAATATGAGGCCCTACGGAGAAGTTATAGCATTCTTAGTTATTGAAATCTGACAAATGTACCTTTGGGTAACAAGAGTAACTTTCTGCACGTTTAATCCTGTCCCTCCAATCTCCTGCACTGATCACTGATAATTTATGTCACATATACCTCTTGTTGTTGGGCAGAAATGACCTCAATGGACAATCAAAAGGTACATGACCACAGCAAACATTCACTAAAATTCTCTTCACTAAAGTGGTTCTCTTGCAAATGGTACTGCCTCTCACTCCCATCTGAAGGGGGGATGTTGCATTTCTTGCCCAAATGATGTCTATGACCAAAAACATTCTATCAGCATTAAAAGAAATTTTACTTAAGTCTGAATATAATCTCCTGTCCTTCACTCCTGGGGGAGATATAGCAGAATGATGTGAGGGAGAACAAGTGTGACGCTGTCAGACTGACACTGTCTTTTCTGTTAATCCCTTGCTCTTATGTCTTTAAAGAACTACTAGGTTGATACTTCTTTTGTAGAAGTCTATAAAAAGATGCGGTATTATCAAAATCACACAAACTCAGGGAGTGGTGAGGCAGTGTTAGTGGGTGACAGTTCCAACTACAGAGACTGTTAAGGCTGGGGACTGGGCCTTACAATACCTCTGCAGACGACACGGCAAAGTCTGGGCCCTCTGCTGGCTTACAAGGAGCTGACATTTTGCTGTTTGTCAACCATGGTTTACCATAATTGCGTGTTAAAGGATGGAGAATCTGTATGGAACAATGGCAAATCAAACGTAAAGGACAGCAGGTAAAAACCAAAGGCACAGAAAGAGATATTTACAGCTGGGAGTCACATTTCACAGTCAGAATAATAATTTTTAAAAAAGATGGAAAGATCTGATGGAAAATCATACAAACTGAAAAAAAAAAAAAAGAGAGAGAGAGAGAGAGAGAAAGAGAGAATGAAACCTTAAAAAGAAAATTCAGTCTGAAAGATAACAAAGCCCCTGTTTAGATAATCTCTGTATGGGTCACTAGGCAAAGGCATATTTTTTAAAACAAGAAAATCTTCAGTTTCCCATACTGTGAGAAGAGACACAAACGGAGACAAGTAGCTCTACATTCTAGGGATGTGAAACATTCAAAAGCATACTCAGGACACTGGGTTGGAGGAGGACAAACCTTCATTCCGGGGTCCTACCTTGGGTGTGCTGGTGGCAGGAACCTGTGGGGAGGCCCCCTGACCAGCCTGGCTGGACACAGAAGTTGATCTGTTTGGTGAAGCTCCCCGAGAGGAAGGCCGAGATCTGCGGCCCCGGGGTCGGAAGGCAGCCATGCCCTGACTGGCACCATCTGCTAAGATGAACTTCTCACGCAGCTCCATGTTGGTCCTTCCTTTAGCTGAATAACACACCGACACACAACAACAGCACATACAAAAGAAGGAAAATAGGCACTCAATCATTAATGAAAAGAACGACCACCTAATACGAGAGATACGCTGAGAATTTTAAGAACATCTTTTTGCCATGCCAACTCCAATTCGGCATAACAAAAAAAGTTAAAAGCATTCCTTAACAATGCATTCCTTTTGGATACAAGTGAGTTCGGGAAGGGGGAAGAGGTGTGCTTATTCTAACACTAGACACCAGGAAGAATAACCACTATAAACGAAAGAATCAGCATGAAAATAATGGAAAGCTCATGCTAAAATACTGTTAATCCACCAGCTATTGATGCCACAAGGTCTCACTGCCCTTTCATCACACTGAGAAGACAAGCCAGGAGGGCAGTGATTGTGTCTTTTTGCACGTGCTACAGAGGTCAGGAGAATGCTAGTATTTAACATGGGGATTAATTAACCAGTAGATTACACAGAACGAAAGATGGCTCATTAGTCACAATGACAACACAGAAACTTCAGATTTTTCACTGACATGAGGCAGCTAATATTTTTACTTTATGCTTTGAGAAACTTTTACCAACATGCAATAACAAACACCAGACCCAAGGATCGGTGAGGTAGTCAGCGATACAGCACTCATATAAACACATATGCACATGGAGCACAGGCCTCAAGAACCCAATGAGCAACGTGTTAGTACGTGTCTGATCACTTATGTAACACCTGCTTTTGCAACACACTGGAAGTGTGTCCAATTTCTAAAATTTAAATTTGGAAGCACCAGCTCACAGTTGGATACAAGTTAAGCCAAATGCAATGGAGCATGTTGTATTAAAACAAATAATTAAAGCAAGAATGTAGAAGTAGAAAAGAGAAAAGGAAAGAGGCAGAGGCAAAGAGACGGGTTGCCAACCTATAGTAGGCTGAGTAGTAGTAATTGAAGAGTTTGATTCCGAACGTAACATTTTACTCCCATGATGATGAACTAGAAAAAAATGACACAGGATACCAATCACATTTAAGAATACTGTTAGCAGAAGAAGAAACAAAGTACAGTAGTTGAATATACAAAGAGTGCTTTTCAGCCTGTAGCACACATTTTAGAAGAAAAGTGGCATCAAGAAAAGAACCCCTCAAAGTTTGGCTCAACAAGAAAAATGCATGTGGAAGACTCTGCCACAGTCACCCCAGCTAGTTTCCTAAGCTAACTAACAGAACAGTCTGCATTCTGATTTCTCTGCTCATAAACGGAGCTGCACAAGGCCATCACTTCCACAATCACAGATGTACACTGTCATGTACCTTGTAGTGACATTCTGGTCACTGAGGGACTGCACAGTATTTGATGGAGTCTTGTAACACCATTCCACTGCCTTGTCGTGAACTTGTGACGATGCAGGTTCAGACAAACGTACTGTGCTGTTATCACTAGAAGCACAGCACAGAGAGCTATGCCTAGGACATAATGCTTGTTACCTGTTTATGTATCTACCACATTGCATTTTCCTGTTACCTTAGATGGTGCTCCTTATAAAAGTTAACTGTAAAACAGCACACTGTGTTATGCCAGCAGTACCTGTGCATACCTCATGTTAACTGTATCTCTTTCTTACACTATTTTCTCTTGTGCTTGATTTAATCTATGTTGTTTTGTTTATCACAACTCTGGGAGCACTAGGTAATACTGTATACACATCATAGCATATAGCCTAGGTGTGTAACAGGCTAGATACATCTAGGTTTAAATACACCCCATATATGCACAATAATGAAAGTGCCTAACACACTGCCTAGACTACATCTCCATTATTAAGTGATAAATGAATGATAAAAGGAAATGGGTGCTTTTATTCTTATTTCGCTCCTCCTTTAAATATGTCTACAGCCAACAGAGAATCAGACCACTTTGTGTGGTTGTGTAACAATCCACGGTGGCCGTGGCAGACAGACCTGCCGATACTCAATAATCTGCAATCCTCAGATGACAGAATGGAATCCAAGAAGCTCCAAGAGGCAGCCTTCACCTCCCACTTAGTAACCTAAATCGACAGCACTGGTGTAGAAACTGCAAAATGACTACCTGAAGCTCAAGACTAAAGCAAATGATAACAGTTCTACTGTTTCTTTCTTGCAAAGTAAGAAAAATGTGCCTACTGAGTTGATGGTGCCTAACTAGAAACTGCAATCAAATGTTCACTAGCAAATCAATTTAGAATTTAAAAATTGGTTGTAGGATCTGAAAATTAAAAGTTAATAGCTAATATAAGCTTGTAGATATGCAATGGACTATAGTATTATATACTTATATTTTTAATATTACAATCTGTGACTTCAAATTAAGAGTCGTTTAACAGTTCACTGCTATTTTAAGGATTGCTTTCTTCAAGTCTCCTTCATTTCATAACATCTTTGACTTTTAAACTTTTTCTATCTAATAGTATTGTCTCAATTCCTTTTCCTACTGTGTTATTTAATGGCAAACCCCTTTGTTGGTGAATGTAAGTGCTCATTTTAAAAATTACACATAGGAGGGTCTCATAAAGAAAACCTACTCTAGTATTTCCTGTCCACCTGTCTCATATTTATTCCAGAATTAGTAAAGTAGTGAAAAAAACCAAAAACAAGGAGAAAAATATGGTTTACATGACTGCCACAAGTTGTTTGGGAACATCAGGCTGGGGACTACGGTGAAACCCTATCAGAATCAGGGTCCAAATCATGGCCAGTATGTTTTCAATGCTGGAAAATAACAAAAAGCTGGTCTATTTTCATGGTGCTGTCACCTTGAACCAAGCATCTCCTTACCCCTGCAAGGATCATTTTTCACTAAGAACTCATCAAGTGCCATCCATCCACCTCCAACACGGACCATCACGGTACTTCGAAGGATCCGAACCAGCCGCAGCTGCTGGGAGTCTCCAAACTGCACGGTAAAGAAAGAGAGAACTCTAATTGTCAATAGTAATTCCAAGCTAAAGTGTGATGTGTGATCTGCAGGAGCTTAAGCAACCAATTTTGTTCTCTTGCTTAGTTCATAGTGATTAGTGAAATCTCAGAATAAGGAAGCTGTCATGATCTGCGTTAGCTGCTACATGCTGATTTAGCCCAAAGGAAACATGAGAAAAAGATTCAAAGGTTATCAAGTATAACATTGAAGCTTTATTCTAAAAATATTTTGTTCTTTCTTGTAATAGAATCAACATTAGTAAAGCAGTAATTGAAAAATGTTTTTAGAAATTAAACAGCCATGAAAATAAGCACTGGTCCATTTGCCATAGACTTATACAAAGTAAGCAGATTCAAAAGCAAGTTTAATAAATTCTTATTTCTCTCTACTAAAACTACATTTTGTGTGGCACTAGGGATTAGGCCCAGGGCCTCTGAACTGAGCCCATATCCCTATGCCATTTTTATATTTTTACTGTGAGACAGTGTCTTAGCAAAGTTGCCCAGCCTGGGCTCAAACTTGTGATCCTCCTGCCTCACCTCCCAGAACACTGGAATCACAGGTATGTGCCAACATGCCTGGCTTAAAATTACCTCTTATATTAAAGCTGATTTCCACTGAAACCTATGGGAGAAATCTTTATAAACACGTTTTGTTTTAAGATTTCTGTCTTATGGAGAGTAGAGTAATAAAATGAGTATGACTAATAAAAATTTCACAGTCAACTAAAATTCCTGCATCCCTAAATGGTCTGAGAGACCAATTTATTAAAGGATGGATGAATATGCCACCTCACATTACTGTAATATTGTAACAGCCACTGACAAGTTATCAGTGATAAAGCTTTCGAATCTAAAAAGGTTTCTCCAAAGATTTTTGTACTGTAACTGCTGACACTAACAAGCAGTATCTTTTTTTGGCCCCTTCAACAAATTGCCAGTCACTTGGATATGGTATAAATTTGGCAAGTCCCGAGTAAATGCTATGCTATAGGTAGTTCTGGTAATAGGTTTGTTTTGAAAGCCTGTGAGAAATGATTTTATGCTTTTAAATCATTTCTAATAGGCTTATATTCAACCTATAAAAATAATGTACCTCATTTCATGGTTGTCAATCCAGTGGACAACAAAGCAAAATAAATAGTTAATTAAGCACAAGCAGCTTCTTTTCAAAACAGGGAAAACACAACAGTGACACTTATTTGTCTGGGCTATGAGAAACTGTAAACTTTAAGTGAAAATGATTTGCTATTTTCAATAAGCTTTAGCATTAGATTTCAGGAAGAGAACCCTAAAACAAAGCTAACTCAATCCCACTCAGGATCCTAAAACTCAGCAGGACCTAGAAAGCATGTACAATACACAGCAGGACCTCATACATCATAAATATAGAGCTGCGAAGACTATTTCTAAATCCGATTTTTAAACACCAAGACTTGAGTATCTTCTAAGTGAACCTGTTCCTGAAATGTAAATATAAATTTAAATATCAAAATATTTATTTTTAAAATGTATTTAGTTAGAAAAAATTTGGTGCAGCTAATAAGCAAAGGGAAAGGAGGGGATTTAAAGAAAATTACCCTTAAGGAACCAGATAATTTTGGTCCAAGATTATGTTCAAAACAAAAGTTTTAAGGAAGTAACTCAAAGTACTTTCTAGAGATGAAATTTCAAGTCTATTGAATGAGTAATTTTTCTTTTTATTCTAAGAAGACATTCTCTAGCCAACTATCACTGCTTTCAGAATTTCTCTAGTTTTCCCAACAGCCAAATGGTGGGACAAGAAAAAAACAAATTAATGTTCTTTGTGCTTCGGTAAATAAAACCTTTTCAGGTATTTCCCTTATTCTGCCCACAAATAAAAGACACTATTTCATTTCTTGACTCAGAAAATAACAAAAATGGCAAGGTAACACTTAATGTATTATAACAAATAAAATTTTGCCCTGAGTTAATTACCATCATATACATGTATCAAATTATTGTCCTGTATTCATAAATATGTCAATTAAAATATTTATTGGAAAAACTCAATTCAAAGTACCTGAATATTTCTATTTTAAATAACTTATGTGATTGCAAGAGATGAGAAGATAATCTGAAATTTAAGAAGTAATATGGCTTAAAATTAAGCAGCAGAGTAATATTTAGTATATGTCAAGTACTATAGATAATAATTTTCTTTGTGAGAGAATATAATAAAAAAACTTGAATGTTTAAATCAGAATATTTCTTTTGTCTTTAAAGTTCCAACCACGCTGCAGTGCCACTAGGTAGTTCATACTGACTTAAGTGTTATTTATTATAGACATTTGGCCAAGAAGGAATAACTTTTGACTTTAAGATTTTGTGTACATGCAATGTCCCTCAAAATGAATGACAGCACTTAAAATCTCCAGATTAATGTTTGTACATAGAAGATGACAAGCCCTAAATCAGTGACGTAGGACAAATGGGAAAGAGCTGCTTTGGAAAGAACACGTTACTTTAGCCAAGTATCATGGAGCCCTCTCAATGCTCTGTCTTCTCTCGCCACTGTTGACCCTCCTGGCTCCTAAATAGTTAAACACCAATCAGGGCACACAGATGTGTGGAGAATTAAATTTGCGTTCAATAATTACTTGTATAAAATATATGCTAATAGTATTACTGTAAATGGGAATTTAAAACTGTATTTGTAGCACTGTAGCCAAATAAGCTACAATTATCTGGTTTACTTAAAAGTAATCTCCTCATTTGAGATGCAAGGCAAAAAGGAATCCCCGATCAAGGATCCTTTACAGCACTTACAGAAACACCACGCCAACCGACAATATAGTAGCTAGGGACACAGCATGGGAAGATTGGCCATGGCAAGCTTTAATGACTATGAATTACAGTTTTAAAAAGTCATTTGGAACTTGAGAATATACATTCCACTGGTTTATACCTGATTTCCCAGGAAGAACTGATAAAAAAATGAAAAATAGAAAAAAGACACAATTAGTTTAACAGGAAACTTTTTATACGATTTGAGAACACACCACACACTCCCACACTTGGGCTTCTGGATATAGTAACTTATTTAGAGATGTGCAAGTACCTAGTTATCCCAATTTCAAACAAAATAATCAGAAAATTTTCTCTACAAATTTATTGGAAAATCTTAGGATTTCAAATTTAAAATTCTGGGCCGGGGACTTAGCTCAGTGGTTCAGCCGCCTTCCTCAAATTTAAAATTCTGACTATGTACATGATTGTTTTTTAATATGAAAGCATTAAAATAAATAATGTCAATAAGTTAGGTAAACTTAGCACATTTCCTGTCTAGTTACTATGTATCAGAGATGTTCCAAAAAGAAAAAAGACAGAGTGATGAAGTCACATTATTCTTCTGTTCTGAAAGTGAACTAAGTCCGAGATTACAAATACAGTAGAAGCAAAAATTACTGCATATTTCTCATATTTACAAAAATGAGTCAACATTTTGACTTCATGGTTCTTCTTGGAATAACTTTGTTATTCAAAATCTGAAAACTTACCTATAATTATAATAAAATATAAACTAATATGAAGCAACTTGAATTTATGAGATTTAAGTGTGTCACTGTGAATAATTCTTTTCCTTGAAAGAAACGTGCATATGCTGTAAGGTCAAAGATATGCCTTAATATAAAAAAATATAGGTGATCTTCATATAATTTAAAATGAAAATGCTGGAGTGTCATATGTCTTTGAATTTTGATATGATGTAAAAAATAACTAGGATTCCTGGAAAACAACACATATCAAACTGTGTACGGATTTCAATTTCTTCACCCTCCCCCCTTTTTTTGTAGGTACCAGGGATCAAACTCAGGACCTTGTGCTTGCACGTCAGGTGTGGTGCCACTGAGCTAAATCCTCAGCCCTCAATCTCTACCCTTTAAAGGAACAACAAAGTTATTTGGAAAACTTACCCTGTATTTGTTATCACCGATCTGTTCAACTTGAAATCGTTTTGCACATTTACACTTAGCTACCTGCCTTGTGACCTGCCAAAAGGAATGATGAAATATTCAGTTTAATGTTAATATTGCATGATGGAAGCCTTAAAACTTGTGACAACAACTAAAGGGGAAATAAATAAAACAGTTCCACGCATTGCGCATGATGTCCTGGCAGAGCACTGCAGGCAGTGGAAAGACAATGAGTACCTCATCTTCAATTTTGTCAGCATCTGTGATGGGTTTGTACGCATCTTTATTTGGATGAAGAGCTGCTACAAATTCATAGTAGTCAATATATCCATCACCGTCTCTGTCAAAGATGTCTGCAACTGCACTCATCTCCAGGCGACTGGTTGGGAACTCTAAAATTTGCAAAACAACAGGAAGTACTTTACTGTAACTGGTTTTTTCCACCTCAAGACATTATAGATTTCTTCTGTCAGAGTCTGTCACCTTAATTTAAGACTTCCTAGAGCGTTCTAATGACTTATTGACAATGTTAATTTAAAAGGTGAATTATAATGAAGAAAGAGAACTACATTTACTGATTTTCTATTGTATGCCAGGCAACACACAAAAGCTCTAAAAAGCAAACATTGCTAACTTTATTATACTAACAGTGACACAGCTTCAGTAAAGGGACATCTGTGGTCACAGAATTAGTAAGTATGTCTGACTTCGCAGCCATAAATTTAACCGAACATACTTGTTTTTAAAGGTGGTGACTTTCTAGCTAGTTTCAAGGCAAAGATTTATTAGCAGTACAACTTTGTTGGGCCCACAGTTTTAAACTCTGCTTATTTCCCTTGAACACTGTGTCAGTTACAGTCATCGACCCTGAGACTTACTTGAGGAAAGAATTCCATCAATAAATTCTTGCCGAGTAATCTTCCCATCCTGATCTTTATCAATTCTCCTGAAGAAGTCCATCACTCGGGATTTCTTGTGATTCATCCACCGCATGTATTTTTTGCGCCAAATATCAAAATCAAAGTTAGCAAATTCCCTCAGCTAAAAGAGCAAAAGGTTATTTGGTGGAGTTAGTGCTGGTTCACGTTACATTTTAAATATTTTATATTTATATTATCTGAACAAAACTTTTTTAAAAATCTAGATAAATTTCAAATAAAGGAGTATTGCAAAGGTGACTCAAACATATTCTTCTGTAAAGTTTATTTCTAATGTCACTGAGTTTTCTTTACAAATAAGATCTTTATTGTTAAATGGAAAATTTCCCATACCACCAGAGTCACTAAGGCAGAGTGCCTGAAGTCCCAGCTCTAGCCCCATGCCCCTGCCAGCTCAGCAGCTCCTAACCAAGCCCCCCAGTCTGTCTCCCTCTGCATTCACTGTGCCACTCTTAACTCCCACAGATGTCTAAAAATGCCCCAATGTTAGGACATACAGCTCCAGTCTTGGGTCACAGAGTATACATTATTCAAAGTTCTAAATCATAAACAGTTTCATTTGCCAGGAAGTACCACCAGGAAATATGTCAAGTTAGAGCTTTTCTTATGCAGTCAGCTGCTCACTGTTGAAACATGTATCATTTTGCTTCACTGATTTCCTAAATCTAAATCTTATTTATCAGTCTTTTACAAAGGCATACACGCACTTAGAATTTAAAGTACAGCATGCACGCAAACAGCAAGAGTTTGCTTATATAAAAGCAAATCAAGATTTTGGGATAGGGGTATGCATAACAGAGAGTGAGTGCATGACAATATGGAGATGAACACATGAACTTCCGAACCTCTTCCAGCCTGTCTAAGGCATCATTGAGCTTCCTCCTCCTTTCCAACGCGAGGAGCCAGACTTGCTGCCATTTGCTCACCAGCAGGTTTACCCTGGGATTCTTGGTTTCAATTTGTGTCTGTGATCCAGAGGGATATAAGCTGGATGCTGGAAAGCGTTTTTCTGTTAAAAAGTACAAGTTCAGTTAGGATGGCAGAGGTCGCTTCCATCACTCTGGTATGTGTCAATGCTTGGCTGTTTTTGGTGCTAGCCAACTTAATTCCCGAGTATTCCAAGTAGAACTATCCTACTTGAGATGGCGCATGATGTCAAAGTCTAAACCTGTCTTAAATGTGTCTTATTAAGGACCACATACTGATCATGTGAACTGGAGAAATTTATCTGGATGGGGATATTAAACATCAGAAATTCTCTCAATAAGTCTGTGCTTAAAACATTTTCCTGCTTGAAATTCACTCCACTGCATTGACAGTGCAGCATCCTGCGATCCTCCTGTTTGGTTAAGGCAAGAAAAAGAAATCACCTCTGTGTAGCAACATCACCTTAGGATCAGTTACATCAGACTCAGATGCCCTTTGTAGAGCACAAATAAGGCTGAAAGGAGAGTAAGCAGATGATGGAGACATCGGTGTCACCGAAGTCAGCGTCAGGTGCTTTACAAATCTTAATAGAACAGAACACAGACCACAGTGTGTACCAGGGTCCCAATTTCATCCCACTTCTCCTGCGCGTTTCCTGCACATAGTCTCATACTCAAGTTTACTGGTCTCTCCTCCTGGCTGTTTTTCATAAATTTGTGAAATGCTGTAAAACAATTATTTCAAGGTAATCTTATCTAACTAGTCATCACTATTCTCTTGCTCAGTGGCTACTCTGCAAAGCAGGTAAGGCAAGGATAGGCTGACTGGGGTTGGTATTTCTGATCACTACTTTCCCAGGCTGATTATTTTCTGGCTAGGTCTTATTTTCAGAGAAACACAGTAGTTAACTACTGTCTAGGAAACTGATTGGTTTGCAGTCATACAGGTGTCCATGCTACCATCACGTGGATAATACTTACTGAGGATTTAACTGCACACCAGGCAGTACACTGAGCACTTCATGTGCATCAGCACATTTCAGTCCTGCTGTAGTCTGAGAATGTAACTGCCCCCCTCAGGGACAGGGGATGGCGGTCTAGAGGGAAAGTAAGAAGCTCCTAGAGGGATTTCCCAGTTGCTAAGTGCTGGGGACAGCCAAGAAGTCTGCTTCCAGGGCACTTGGCCACTACGCTGTTTCCTTGGCTCACACAGTAATCACAACAGCTCCAAACCCACTTATAAAAGAAATTAAGGCAGTCACACACTTAACATGTGTGATACAAACTGTTATAAATATTCTCCGAGCTACAGCTTCCATTTTATTTTATTCCAAACTACAGCTTTTAATGCCATTTTATTGTGTTAATGGCTTCCCGAGAAGTAGTAAACAGCAGGGAAAAATCTATCCGATCAGTGTCATTAATGAGCAGCTGGACTGGAAGCTTTTATCCAGGTTGTGCTCACTTTCCTTATGTTCACTTATAATGCTGTTTACATAACAAAAGAAAAAGGAGAGAATTCAAATGATGACTTCTCTTCTTGCGAACTTTTCCAATTCTCCTAGCTCATTTGAAAGATTCACTTCAAGCAAATAAAATTAAATACACAAACCTAGACACCACCACAAGTTGCCGTAATCGTCAATGTACTTTAAAAAAATCTTTCTGTGATAGAATACTCACACTAAATCATCAACTGCCCAAAAATTTCAAACAATAATTAAGCTAAAAAGGAAACTAGCTTTTGTTTTAACCATTCTCATTTTGAAGAAATTGGCCATAGCTTACTTCCTGCTCGCCCCTTATCCAGAACTGGAATGTGGGACTGCAATGAGGGAGGGTCAGCTCCTCTCCGCTTATAAGTCTTCGTTACTTTATCAACATCAGGCTGTTTTCTGGTCATTTCCTCCATGAAGGACTGCAGTGAAAGAGATCGTGTCATTAAATAAAATTTTACCAGACTGAATTAACCTTAAGAATAAAGTAAAAAACACAGGACAAATTTGTCATGCTATTATTTCTTAAGAATGAATTACCATGTTTTATCCTTAAAAACTGCTAAACTAGCAGAGTAATTTACTGATTTCCAAAGAATGTGAAATCTTATAGTTGGTGAGAACAAATTAAAATTTTAAAAAGTAACTTTAGTTAAAAGCCCATGCATGGGAGCAGTCATATGAATAACATCACACTCAAGCTTGAAGCTTTTCCCCAAGAATTTCTCATGAGCATCTGACTGCAAAGGAACTTGCTAGCTAGGGCGTTCCCAGGATTCTTCTATGGCACACTTAACCTACATATGACATATATAAGATGGGTCTGATATACATTAAATGCAAATATTTTAGTCATAAGCTATTTCAAGGAATGTAAAAAAGTTAAACTACCTTACAGCTACATTAAAGGGTTGACTATCTTTCCATTTTTACCCCATCTCCTTGGTTCATGACTGTTACTACATATACTTACATCTGAAACACGTGGCCAAAGGCTAAGGAAAGGCAGGGACTATGATGGAGAAAAGGTACACCAGACAAAAACGAAAAGGGAAGGAGACATTTCTGGAATATTATTGCACCGGAGAAGCACGACCACTTCAACACCCCTGATCAGAGAGAACAACTCAAGGCCCCAGGGGCCAGTACAGGCATTCACACTTCAGACCTGTATTAAAGTACAACAATGGCAACGTTAACCGCTTAGCTGAGCTGATGTGTGATGCTTCTCATTGTAAACACATATTAAACAGACTAGAGTGAGTGTGATGCCCATCATTTCAGACTAAACCAAGGAGGATACAGAGGGGAGTCATTGTTCTGGGAAAGACAACTAACCACCGTCACCACCACCCCCATGTCAGTACTGATGGTCGTCATGGGAGACAGATGAAATTAAAACACAGTAAAATGAATAAGTGCTAGTTAAAGCCATGAAGAAGAGTGAGACTGGCAAGACAAGAAGTGGTGAGCAAGGAGTAGAGAGTTAAGCGTAAGATACAGGAGGGAGCAGAGCTGACACTAAAAAGGCAAGAAGTGGCATGGGAGCCAGTGTGGGGCAGTGCCGCTCTAGTGTAACTTCAAAGAGGACAAAGCAGGAGAGTTTTGCAAAGGTCTAGTGAGTAAAATGTGAAAAGAGAGGTTTGGGGGAGTTGCAGTTAGAAACCCAGTTGTCGCGAGCGAGGGATACAGTGAAAGAAGCAAAGGTTAACACACACAAAGCAATCTTTTGACCAGAACTGAAGAGAAAGAAGGAAGCTACTCTGACTAACAGGGTTTGGGATTAAATTGAGTTCACCTGGTGCTCTGCAATGAGGGCTTTCAGTTCCTCGATCTCCTGGGGGATATCTTCTCTGTCCTTCTCATTGAGCGTAGTTTCAGCCCACTGCAACCAAGCCAGCAAAGCTTCCAACAACTCCTTTTTAGCAATGAGCCCAGCCAGAGCACTCACTAATCTCTGCTGATGCTGCTTTGCCCAGGCCAGTACCTGTTGAAGAAACAGATTTCTCTGAATGCCTTCTAACCAGTGAATGACTGCATTAATGTAGAATACACAAATTTTAAGTGTAAATTAGAATAATGCCAGGCTAGAACCATATGCCATTCTTTAGTGGCACCAAAACACAACTTTGGGATGAGGTAGGAGTCCTGTGTGATACTTGTCGCTTTGATGTTATTAATCGCCCAAGTTTCCTTTTGCTTTCTAACTTAAGTTCAAATATGCATTCTCTCAAGGGTCAGTGTACTTACTCCACCTGGCAAAGGGCAGAAACTGAAAATGCTAAGACCTGAAACTTTACACTGCATGCATCAGCTCACGCAGCAAGTACGTATTGTTCTGTGACACTATTCAGTACTGGGAGTGGACAGAATTCAATATGGGAGTGGACAGAATGCTATACAGGGAGCTAAAAGTCTGCCTGTAAGAGTCTCAGGAACATAGCTGAAAATTCCTTTTAATTTTTAAAAGAAAAGTGAATTTCAGAGGCTGTGTTAGAAGAACATCATAAAGAACACTTTCCATGATGGGGGACCTCACTTTCCCACAGCTGTAAGTGCATTTTAATTGCTGTAAATTTCCCACACCCCACAACTCTCAAGGCTACAGCTAAAGACTAGTGGAGAGGGCTGGGAATTTAGCACAGTGGTTCCACCGCCTGCCTCACAAACGCAAGGTCCTGAGTTCAATCCCTGATACCAAACAACAACAACAAAACTGGTGGAAACATGCTGACCTCCTCAAACCTGGCCCGGATGATTGTAATCCAGTGCTTAATGGTGGTGACGGAATCAGGATGGCAGATCACCAAAACGGCATCACCCATACTGGTAGCTTTATTGAGCTCTGTTCTTTTTTCTTCCAGTTTCTTCATGAATTCCTATAGCAGAAACAAAGACTTCAATTAGCTGCTGGCAATGGCTGAAAACAAAACTGATGACATTCAGTTACTGTCAGGATTAACTAAACGAATCAGAACTTTAGCTGGTTTATTCACAGTTGTCGTGTACTAATTGGGGAGGAAAAGAAGAAAAAAATGGAAAAATTAAGTACTCTCTAAGATGTATGTCAAAAGAGTATAGAAGAGTATTTCATGCTTTAAAAATATATATCCACAAAAATAATTCTTCAAAGTATATATCTGGAAGTAGCATTGGGAGATACGATATTGGCAGAGATAGAAATATTAACTGCAAAATATTCAAACACATAAAATAGCATTCATGATGCAGGAAAGACAAACACAGTATATACCAACAAAGTACCAAGGAAGAGAGAATGCTGGGCATATAGCTATAAATGTTTGGGAGTATGGGAGAGAGGGCCCAAAGTGTAAAGGTAAAGAGTCAAGAGGAGGCCAGTGAGAGTGGTTCTGGCACCAGGCCACGCTGTACGACAACTGTCTCTTTCAAAGGCCAACAAATCTCTTCTCTGTTCCTTCAGGCCTAGCCAAATTCAGAAGAACAAAGCCCAAACAGGTCTAGGGTGATCTTTCTAATCACCTGTGTCTCACACACATACTTGTACTTTTTTTTTTTTGATACCGGGACCTTGCACTTGCTAGGCAGGCAGCGGAACCACTGAGCTAAATCCCCAGCCCCATACTTGTATTTTCTACCATCAGAACTGTATCCACAGTGGGCCAGAGATTTAGCTCAGTGGTTCTGCCGCCTACTTAGCAAGCACAAGGACCTGAGTTTGATCCCCACTACCAAAAACAAACAAACAACAACAACAAAAAACACTGTATCCATACTACACAGATCACTGAACTCTTGAAAGTGTTGTTAAAAACTGAGGATCTTTTCCTGAAGGATGTGACATGTTTCAAAAATCTCATCTATAGAATTTTGGACCTTGCCTGAACTAGGAGGGACTGCTAAATCAGTGATAGCAAGTGCCAGGAACTTCAATGAGGAACACAACCATACTACCCAGCCATGTGAATAAAGGTGCTCATTCATTATTCTTTATTCTAGTTTCAAATTCAGATGTCTTTAGATAATGCTACATAGGCTTGCATCACTTTTCTTAATGACAAGGCAGTATTTCACTGCTATAGGTTAGCCAACCCCTCGAGAGAGTTTTTGTTTTTTTATTTTTCAGCTTTAATTGAGTTTATTGGTACATTTTAGGGATACAGTACAGTTACATTCATTGTTGGGATCTTGTACCTCTACATGACAGGTCTTGGTTCTCAGTTTTTCCTCTTGTCCCTGCCCTCCCTTCACCCCTCCTCCCCTCCCCATCTACAAGCACTTTATTTCCATCTTTTCTTTATCTCACATTTTTTTCTTTTCCCTTATTACCCTTCCCCTATCCATCCAAGAATATTAAATAAAACAAAAAGTCTCTACTGATTATGTAATCCATGAAATGAATGATGTATCTACAACTAGACCTTCAAAGGCAAGGTTATTAGTGGTATCAAAAGATTCTTTAAAGCTGACAGAAAATGCTGACTTCAATACTACTTTGAGTGTTAGCACTGTGAATTTCTGACTTTCTGGGTCAAAGACTGAAAAACATTTGTTATGAACTGGACCACTCTCTCTTAAGGGTTTTGCCAAGTTTCATGCACTGCCACAGAAAAGGTCTTAATTTGAAAATTAAATGATCACATTTTTACTTGGTTATTCATCAGGATATTTAATTATGGAACTCATACCTTAGGTTATTTCTAAAAAGATTTCAAAAGGTTCTTGATTAAAAACAGAAGAGGCCTAAAAATAAAATCTAAGGACTCCACATTTTATTAAATGACTTGCTTCCTTTGCTTATAAAAATTGAAGATATTAATTTAAAATTCTACTGCCATAATTTTATAAATGCCAAAATGCTCATTAAGGAAGTTTCCTTCTTGAAATCCATATAAATGTTAACAAAATTGATCAATTTTGGTCAGTAGCCAAATAACCTGCTAGTAAAATCAATGTGCTTCCTAGAGGTATGAAACAGAGACTAACTGTGGAATAATCTTCTCTAATAACCTGTGTGCGTGAATCAGGCTATCTGCACCTCAGCAAGGAAGACAGAGAAATATGCTGAAATGTATCAGATGTTTACTCCTCAGGAACGAAAATATTCATGCATTTGATATCTGTAATCAAGTCTATTTCATCTACTTTGTTTCATTTTCTCATTTAGTTATACTTAGTGTTTAGAAATTACTCACTTTGTGCTGGTCAATGAGAGTTCGGAGAGCATCCTCATCATCTGGGAGAACACCATGGAAACGCAGGGTTTGCTCTGCCTCGGCCAGCCACTCCAAGAGGGCATGTACCACTGAATGGAACTCTTCTGCCTAAGAGTGCATGCACATACACACACACATGCAAGATCACAAAATATGCCTGTTAGTGAAATTCACAGAAGTGAAGAGTAGATTCCTCCCCCCATGAAAAAAAGTCTTAGATTTAAGTTAACTAATTACTCCCATTAAAAAGATAACGATGCCCCGTGCTGCATTTCACAAATAGAAGAAAACATCTAATATTTCAGTAAAGCTTATAATACAATATTCATTTTTAACAACTTGGTTTTAGGTGAATGGCAGCACACAAGACTTCCAAACTAAAAATTACTCAAGTGGCACTTTTTTGTGAAGATCGGCAAACTTCTCCCACTTGTGAGTGACTGAAAGTCTCAAGGGAAGTGGAAGACAGATCAAGGCAATGATGCTATTAGAATTTTCTCCTTTCTGATTGCCCAGGGGGAGAAATGGGGACCCTCACGGTTCTCCACTACAGCCATTCTAGCTGAGGCTTCAATACTTCCCTCATCACATCCACTATCACTGGAATGGTTCTCACCTGACGCAGGGCTGCTTCCAGCCGAGTCTGCTTTGATACAGAAAGTGCACACACTGTCTCCCAGCGTGTGCTCAGCTCCTGCATCTGGACCTTGACCCAGGAAGAGTCATCCCGGCTGCCTTCTATAAGCTCCCGGGCAGAGCGCTTTAGGGCCTGTACACTGCTGGTCCTCTTCCCCAGCTCTTTTTGGAAGACCTAAGAAAATCATAGCTTTTAAAATTAAGTTTCAATTTAGAAACCACAATAACTCCCAAAGGAAATTGCAACATGGATCTTTCTCCCCCATAATGTACCTTTGTCTTCATAGCACACTGGGTACTAATGTATGATTTCAAATTTTAGAAAATTCTTATTTTTCATCTTAAGAGGAAAAGCTTTTTGGACTTTTTTCTCCCCGCCTAATTTTGATGAACTTTGATATGTCAAGAGTTAAACTTACTTCTTTGGCCTCAGACTTAATCAAGAAGTGATGTCAGGGACTTATGTCAGATCCACAAGTCTGCTTACAAAACATGTTCATGCAAATAACCAGCCTTTCATCTAAGATCAGTCACAAAAAGGAGCTCAATCAAAATAATCTAAACAGGATTGTGGAGTCTCTGACTTTACTCTAACAGTGTTTAGTGAAATGTGCTTGCAGATAAACACACACAAATGCACACACACACACACACACACACACACACACACGCAGCAATATTTAAAGATTTCATTTGTGACAATAGAGTTCCCAGAGTACTCTGTACACTTAAATTTCCTGAGCCTTCCAATTGTATTACTAATGCTAAATGATTCATTCATTCTTGATGACCTTTAATATATAAAAAGACTGGCAAGTGACTAGGGTAGTAAATATTTAGACAGTGAGCTTATAAAAATGGCATTTATATAAAAAGTAACATTATAACATTCATTAATCATTGAATGTGTACCAGGAAATGAAAAGTTTTGTATTTACCACGCATGAAACATTTCTTTCAATGCATGCAATATTTAAAATTTTTTAGACCTGGTTACTAGTCTTTATTTCTTCTTTTATTTTCTGTTAATATTCAAGTATCACACACTTTCTTTTATGGGAATAATCACAGAATAGAGACAAAAAGGGGATAACAAATATGCGGAAAAAAAACCATTTAAAAACACATAAATCAAAATAGCATAACCAAGGAAGTGTAAATTTTTTAAAAAATAAAATATATTCTCTGATCTTCAAAAGTGCAGAAGACAAGACACATCAGTGCTGTAAGGTATGCGTACACAGCCATTCCACATTGAGACCATGCTTCCTGTTGCTTCCACAGTTGTTTGAGTTGTATGTTTATCATTTGATAATAATGTAGGACCTAAAACTTAGCATCACGTGCACACCTGAAATGTATGTTTGATTTACATAACATGCATATAAGGCAGACTGCAAGGAAACCAATTTTCTTGAAATAAAAAATAAATCCCTCATAACAACACACCATTGACTCATAAATCACTATAGTGTAAGGGACAAGGTTAAAACAGTTTCTAAAAAAAGAAGAGCATATCTAATCCTGACCCCCTGAATCATGCCACAAATCTACTCACTTATGCAATGACCTCATTCCAGGTCACTGAATGCAAGCTTTTTAATTTTATTACATAATTGTTTAAATGAATAACTCAGTACAACATTTTTGAAACATGTTTTAAAGCACCAAAGGATGAAATCACCTTTTTAATTCTAAAAAAGTTTTAGATCTGGTCATTAAAAACAAAAGTATTTCACTGGTAACTAAAGTAATTTTTGCTGATTGCTTTTAAAGTCAGCTTCCTAATTCTGCTCCAATGCACATGTATTTTAACAATAAAGACAGTAAGGTAGAGTGTGATATAGTCTCCTGATTTTAAAGGGCTAATTTAAATGGTTCTATTTCCCTCTCTACTCTAAATAATCAAACATGACAAAATCGAGTGTCCCAGATAACAGTACCTTGTGATTATCAATCAAATTCATCACCAAATCAACGTCACCGTGGACAGGCTGATCTTCTGCCAGCTGCGGTTCAACTCTATACAACCAATCAATGAGGGCCTGCAGGGCATCTGTGAATTGTCCAGAGAATAACAGTGCTTCCTCCAATTTGTTTTGTCTGGAGGGAAAGTTGGAAAAATTAATCTGAGTCACAGAAAAGTGAGTTCACTCACACAGCTTAAGTGGTACTCAAGAAGAAGAATATGTTTGTCTGCTCTCCTTAGAAGACAAAACTTTTCCAAAGTATCTTGCATTCCTTAACTGCATGCTACGTATCCTAGGAAAATTTCCTAATCATCAACTTTGGAAATCAATGAGTCAAGTCATCTCATAATAATATGTCTTTTAATTTAGAAATATATTTAAATGTGTTTTTAAATGATGAGACAATAAACAATTTATGTAGCACACAGTTCTATGAATTTCAACACAGGCAGATTCATGTAACACTTCGCCACAACCAAGATACAAAAGAGTTTGCCATCCCCAGTTTCCCTCACGCTCTCTTCACAGTCAACACTGCCCCCATTTTTAGCCCCTGACATTCACTGATCTGTTGTTTATCACTGTAATTATCTTTTTTAAATGCCACAAGTGAAATCATTTACATGACTCTGTAAAAAGAATGTAACTTTTTGAGACTGGAGAAGTCTCCAATCAATTTTTTTTTTTAAGCGAACAGGCACTATGAAAATATACGGTGAAGTTCCCTGGAACTGAGTATAACTTTATATTTAATCTTCATATAGGTTAGGCCTTCCTGGATCAAAAATCCAGCATCTAGGGCTGGGGATTTAGCTCAGTGGCACTGCTCCTGCCTTGAAAGCACAAGGTGCTGAGTTTGATCCCCAGTACCACAAAAAACAAAAACAAAAACAAATACAAAAAAAATCCAGCATCCAAAATGTTTCAAAAATCAAACTTTTTGAGCAGCAACATAGTGCCTCAAGCGGAAAATTTCATACCATGAAACTCTGATTCATGAACAGTATTATTAAAACTAAAAAGTTAACTTAAGTCTATATGTATAAAGTATATTGAGACAAATAAATTTCGTGGTTAGACTTGAATCTCATTCCCAATATATCTCATTATGTATATGCAAATATTCCAAAATCTAACAAGTCTAAAATCGGAAACATTTCTAGCCTCAAGCATTTCAAATACACAACACAACCTTTGACAAAAGTAACTAAAACTAAAAATCAACGGAAAAATGGAAAACATTTATAAGATATTTGAACTTTTAAGAAGTACTGTTCTACCTTCCTAAATATTTGAAAATCTGAAGTATGTCTAAGCCTTCACAAAGCATAATGAGAAAGGCAGACACCGGAGGAGTGGCTGGAAGTTAGAGAGCCGCTGGGGCCAGAGCAGTAGTGCCAGGCACACCCCAGGAAGGAACCTGTTTTATTTCATACCCAGCAGTGAGCCCTGAGGGGATCCAGCTGAAGGGGATGGTAAGAGCCCATTTACATTTTAAAATCTCTCCTCACTGTGAGTGGAAATTAGATTAAAGGAGGAATAAAAGTCTATCCAGAGAGACCAGTCAGAAGCGCTGGTGTGGTTGGATGCGAGGTGACAGAGGACTGGAGTAGGATTCATTTTGACTGTAATGAGTAGTTTAAAATACAAAATGATGAACAGCAAAGCTTTCTCAGTTCAGGCAGTCTATAAGTGGGAAGGAGGATGAGCAGATGTTCTCCAGACAAAGTTTCATGGAAGGTCCCCAAAATGTCTCGACAAAGCATCACTACCGTCTGCTACTTCGGGGAGGCCTACAGAGTAACCAAACCACCTGAAAGAGCATCTCACCTCTCCACAGACTTTCCACATATAGTGTCCCACTTGTCTCTAAGTTCACTTAGCATGTTGTCCAGCTTCAGGCTGTCATCAGCCAAGGAGGTTTTGTCCTTTAGAGAACGTCCAGTTCGGTTGGTGGTATCGTAGACAGAGTGCTTGGCTCCGAGTGATTTCTGAAACTCCTATATATTTAACAAGAAAACAGTGTGTATTTCTTTGTGTAACTTATAAACAAACAAGCAAAAACCACTACAGGAGGGTCTCTAACATGGGAGATAGCAAGGAATCAGGTTAGAGTGCTCAGTGTGACCCCCCCACAAAACTCAAACTTCAAAAATAAAGGGTTTACGTTTCTCAGAAGCCAGCTAACCCTACGAAAATAATCTCAAAGCAAAAACACCTTTTTTTCTGGGGTGGTGCAGGGAATCAAACTCAGGTGGTCTTCATGTATATAAGGCAAATATTCTAACACTTAGGCCTGGACCCATTATATATAAGCAACAAACACCACAATATGTATTTACGATAAATAGAATTGCTAATAAACTACGGAAAAACAAGGTTTGGGATTGAAAAATGTGGCCAATACTCTATGAACAACTACAGGTCGGGTGTACACAGAGTGATTCAATGATGAATACATTTTTTTAAAGGCTCTTTTTTGGTGTTATTATTCAAACAGATTTACTGTCTCACACTTTGGATAATTACAGTAAGGGTACATGCAATCTTATCTCTGAGCCAGAATGAAGGGCAAGTAAGGACTGGTCTCTCTAGAGTCTGGTGTTTGGACTTGTCACTATTCATACCACGTGGGAAACCTACATCCTTCCTACTCGGTCATATAAAGCCCTATCAATACCTCAAGAGATTTACAGATTACTCTTCCAGTATCAGGTCCTTATATTGCTAACAGAACATCACCACTTCGCTGGTGTTTATACTGTCAGGGAACCATTTATGCTTGTATAGGTACATGTGTGTAGGGGAAGTGGAAGAAACGTACTTTTTCTATGGATCACAATAATAAGCATTTACAGAGCAGGGACATTGTAGGCTCTCATTATCATTTTATACCTAATAAATATTTATGATTAAATAAGAGTAGAAAAATGAGACAACTGCTACTGAATATACAATCTCAGAGACAAGAGAAAGGTAGGTAAGTCTACTTAATGGGCAGCTTGCAAGCTCATAAAATACCAAGGCAATTATAGCATTGTGATTAACACTGTCCATCAGAATCTTAACAGCTCCTTAGAATCAAACTAGACAATAAAATGGTATGCAAATGATTAGCTTCCCAAAATAATCTCAAAGTTAAAATTGCCTAATAAATTTTTATTGCTTTTAAAAGCTACACTTAAATGCTTTAACATGACATAAAAATTTTAGTCTTGTATTAGGAGGATCTCTTTAAATACTAAAACAATTACAATATTGCACTATTTTGAAAGTTTGTCATCTGTAAGTATTATCTCCTCATGTTATTTGGAAAAGAATGCTCGCATTTACTGAATGAAATGGTACTGACATGGATTTTCTTTACACAGCAGATGCATAAAGAAATATCGTGGCCGCGTACAGGATAGATTAGAACTTTGTAAAGGCAAAAATCCCAAAATGATGAATAGAGAAGACTTCTTTTAAAACTGGTTTAATGGGCTATCTCGATATGTGTCTTGGAGAAACTGGTGTATGTGATATTACGCAAAATAGAAAATATAACGAACTCTTTTGCATATTCATGTTCCTAAAATTCTTCAATATGTAACCTACTTTCATAAGACTACGTAACATTCATGTTCAAGTTCAAATAAGGTGTTCTATTTTGAAAAGGAGGCTCTTGTTTTTCCATCAGAGGGGAAGGATGGAAGGAGCTGCTTACTGTCACTGTGCTGCTCAGGATTGGATGTGGCAGCTAATGGGCAGAAGCTGCTGGCAGAACAAGACGTTCACGAGCCCTACTTCAATCAAAGAACAGATGCTCAGTATGTTTCCTCCTGGGATCCCAGGTCATGACCCTCTGAGGTCAGATTCCGGGATGGCAAAAACCAACCTGCGTAAGATAAGGCTAAAAATTTTCTGACAATGGTAAATCTTATACTGTCCGTTTGATTTTTGTAATCCTTTTTAAAATTTTTCAAGCAGCAATTTATACCTAGATACCTAAAATGATACCTAGCTGCTTGTTGCAGGCACCACTCTCCTTTACTTACATCTTCACCCTAATGGCTGAGGGTCAATTTATAAACAGAATTACAGAAAGACCCAGATAAAAAAAGAGTTGGCAAGGGTACCAGGGAATGCTCTTGAAAACCATACAGAAAGAACATAAATGTTTAAAAAACGTGTTTCTATGGGTATCTAGTCTACACAAAGAAGTCATTTGACTACATGTCTTTGAGAATATGGATGAAATTTTATATTTATATTTACATGCTTATATGAAAAAATATCAATTGTTAGGTAGCAACAATTACGTTTGATCTATGAAAAAATACAAGACACAACAGTGGTTGTGAAAACTGAAATGCCAATGTTCATACCACTAAAAGCCTTCATTTGTTCTAGAATGTAGACAGATTCGGGTTGTAATTCGGTATGTTTTTCTTTTAACCTTCCAGTATTAGTGAAATGGTCACTAGAAGTAAAAGTGTTATTGAAACTTGACCGAAGTAGAGCTATTGGTTTTAAATTTAGTATAGGTTTACACTGGTGCCTTTGTTGCTCGGTAATGAGTAAACATATGATCAAGTAAGAATTTGGAAGTGATCCTGAAATACATAAGCAGGCAATGTGCTTTCCTTAAGAGACTCACCTTATGCTGTGCAAGCTGTGTTTTTATTTTGTCTGGATCATTGGCAATTTCCAGGTCAGAATCCAACGACTTTTCTGACTCTTCTAGCCACTCCATAAGTTTACTCCATGCTTCATGGAACTGTAAAAGAAATTCCTATCTTTGTCCAGAAAAACTCCAAGCATATATTTGCATATTTTAAAACAAATTAATATTAATGGTCAAGTTGAAAATCATTAATTCAAAATTTCTCTTGAAAATATGCTTTCACCAGCAAATTATAAAATGCCTTGATAATGCATGCTGTTTGTGGCCGTGCCCAAAGGTCAATCTGCTATAACTCATCCAACATATCGCTTTAGCAAAAACAGCAATGAGCCTAAAAATAGCAATGGAGCTCAAGGGAAAAACTTCCTTTCTTCTTTCTTTTTTTTGCCCAAATTTTAACATATATTCTCAAAAACATATTTGTATATTTATGTATGTATGTCCATTGCTGTCTCTTGACAGGTCTGAATTTACAACTAAGGTGTTTAACTCTCACGTTAAGAACAAGGGACATTCTGAGGATATACTCCTAAGTGAAATAAATAAGTTACACATGTGTAAATACGGAATAGTTTCTCTGGTGTGAAAAACTATAATAGTAGTTAATTAACAATGTGAAATAGGAAGAAAAGGAATGTGAAATAGGAAGAAAAGGGCTAAAGGTATAGGGAAAGTGGGAAGGGTAGGGGAAAGGGAATAAGGGAGAGGAAAAAAATATGAGAAAATGAAAAAATGGAAATAAAGTGTTTGTAAATAGGGAGGGGAGGAGGGGGTGAAGGGAGGACAGGAACAAGGGGAAAAAATGAGAACCAAGACCTGTCATGTAAAGGTTCAATCCCAGTAATAGTTTCTCTGGTGTGAAAAACTATAATAGTAGTTAATTAACAATGTGAAATAGGAAGAAAAGGAATGTGAAATAGGAAGAAAAGGGCTAAAGGTATAGGGAAAGTGGGAAGGGTAGGGGAAAGGGAATAAGGGAGAGGAAAAAAATATGAGAAAATGAAAAAATGGAAATAAAGTGTTTGTAAATAGGGAGGGGAGGAGGGGGTGAAGGGAGGACAGGAACAAGGGGAAAAAATGAGAACCAAGACCTGTTGTGTAAAGGTTCAAGATCCCAGTAATGAATATAACTGTACTGTATACCTAGAATGTACCAATAAACTCAATAAAAAGAAAAAGGGACAAAATGAGAAGGAGAACTATAGAGAAGCTTATAATTTTTATTTTATTTTTTATTTTTGGTACTAGGGATTGAACACAGAACCTTGTGATTGCCAGGCAGGCTCTGCATCATTGAGCTACAAACCCAACCCTGTAAATTTGTTTTTTAAAGTAGCAAGAATAAAAAGAGGCCATTATATTCCTATTTAATACAAAGGTAGCTTAGTATCTCTACTGCTATCAGAATCCTCAAATTAGTGCTTATGCTTTACATATTGGTTTTATATGTACAAGCACACACAATTTTTGAGTTCTAAGAAAAAATAATTCTCTTTGCCATCTGAGACCTTGCAAATATTCTGTGTCCCTCATATCTGATTTTAGCCACAGTATCTTTTCTGTTTATTACACAAAACTAGTAGGCTTCACACTTTTGTGTACTCAATTGTGAAACTGGTTATAAATTATTTCTTATAACCAATGTAAATGAACAGATACTTACCAAAAATACAATAATTAACATAAACTCCTTGTATACCAAAGTACATTAATAATGAAATAACAAAAAGAGCAAACCCAAGGCACAGAATCACAAAGCTACTAGGGGCCCACTAGACATTATCACATTACAAACCTACTTTCCCTACACATCCCCCCCAAAATTCAGTTTACATGTGAAAAAAAGCAAGATCAAAATAGGTACATGATTGCCAAGATTAGAGAGCTACAATCAACATTGAAGCCAGAAACTGAGATTAAGAAGAAATTTTAAAAAACAGCTAGTCTAGGTGCTGGGCAGTTTGACTTTAATTAACAGAGGCTCTAAAAACTGGACATGAATTTCAGTAATATAAACCACAGGCTCTAAAATGGGTCCTGCCTTTGAAGCTATTTTTAAGCCATATATATAGAGGAAAGGCTTTCTGGGATGAAAACAGTAGAAAATAGGAATATAATCAGTTAAACAAAATGAGACAAACAGATTAAGAGGAGATAGGAGAGAGTGAGCATCTTCATGAATTAGATTTTTATAATTCAACACATATTACAGAAGATATTGTGCTCATAATGAGACAAAAATGTCAGACTCAGTATTACTACTGTAACATTAGCAACAGATTCTATTCCAGACTCACTTCCAATACTGAGCACATCATTCCTCCCACTCAAAAAGGACATAAGGCATGTAATTCCATAACAATGCAATCTGTCATTTCTAGGCCTTCAAAAATTTATACTGATGGTTAAACACTGAAACATCTGACTCTTAGGGTCCTGTCTTGTGCCATGTAACTGAGCCTAAACAATGAAGTACAACAATGCTAAGCAAATGCAGCTGAATGGTGCAAAAAGGGTAAAAAAAATTCAGCCTCAATAGTATACTAAAACTTTCGGTAGAATTATTAAATGTAATTTTAAAAAGATATATGCCAATAAGGTGGGTACATGTCTTACTTTTACTTCCACAGTGTACACACAGAAATGTTAAGAATTTTTACCTTCTTTTATTGAATGTTAGTAATAGGCAAAGAGAGAAGAGAAAATTCCTTGTGAAGTTTTCTAGATTAAATTAAGCATCCCCAAAAGATCTGCATTACTTTCAAAGTGAGAAGCTGCATCACAATGTTTTGGTGGGTAGAGGAAGGGTTGTGAGCAAGCGCTCAGAAAGGTGGGGAATGCCAAATAACTCAGACCCAGAAACATCCCTTCTGCAAGCTGCCTGGAGGCTACACATCTGTGTCTCAGCTCTTCAGACTGAAGAAAGTCCAGCTTAGGAAGTAAACATGAGTTAGTGATATAATAAAGTATAATGCTATACTCTGAGTATGAGAATGGAGGCCAAAAGGACAGAGGAAAAATAAACAAGCCCAGTAACAAAATTTGGACATCCATTTTGTGCCTTAATGATAATGGCCCCTCTATGAAGCCAAGCTATAATTAGTCTTTTCAAGATGAGCTGCCAGGTCCAAAAAGTGATGTCAGCATGCCAAGGTAAACCACAGCCCTTTTAGGAAAATGAATACCCAGCTCCTGATTATTGCCACTAACTTAGCCTGCAATGCAAGTGTTTTAACACCACGCATCTCAACAGCTACAACTCATTTATTGCTAAGGTCAGAGAATTTTCACAAAGGTTTCTTACCTGCTTGGCTCTCTTCCTTGCATCATCCAAGGATCTTCCCCTTTCTACTAGTCGTTGAACTACTTTTTCCCACCGATTTTGTACACTGATAAGTAGGTTCTTAATTAGGACAACATCTTGTTTCTGACTGAAATACTTCAGGTGAGTTCCAGTTTTGTCCAGGTCTATTATCTGCTCACGGTGAGAATTTACTTCATTGGCAAAGACCTTCTCCCCACCACCAGGGAGGGGGAAAGAGAGGACATAATCAGAAACAAGGGAAAAATGAATCCATCTTAGAAATGCTTCTGGTATCATAAAGTTCGTTATGCTTTATAGGACAAGACAAAGTTTTCAACTACTAAATCCATGCTTCTGACATGGAAACACTTGGTGCCTGAAAGGAGAATGTTGTCCGTGTGAGTTGTTGCTACATACCTTATGCTCATCAATTTGAAACAAGACCGTGTCCAAGATGAGACTTGGTCGGGAAGCCACATTCAGGGTTTGCTCTGCTTGAGTGAGCCAGCTGATGAAGTCCTGGAGGGAGTCGTGAAACTGCACTGCCAAGCTGAGAGCCTCTTCCAGTTTAGCCTGTGAAGATGGATTATTTAGTATAGTATCTGATGTTGAAGGGTTATTTTGTTTCAGTTTAATCCTTCTTTGGAAGACTCCTTTCCCTTTCATCCTGTATCTATGTTAACTAAACCACCTGCGATTGGAATAAGCCTTCAATACTGCCAAACCAAGCTTCTTTAAACCCTGTCTAGTAAGAAATATTGCCCTGCAGCTAGAAAAATACTCAGTGTACACCAAACTGTGTTTTGCGGCAATTAACAACAACAAAACCCCCAACAAGACAGAATGGTAAGAAGAAAAACACATTCATACAATTGACTGATGGAGTCAAAATCCTATGAAACACCTAGTATTTGTAGCCTACTGTTTTTCTTACAGCATTAATGTCACTGTGGTTTTAAAAAAGTGGCAAAAAATACATAGTCCATAAATCGTAATTCTTTTCACATTTTTATATAAGAGCTGATAAAATGTATAAACATCTCTCTTGCTCTTCCTCTCCTCTAATGATTGTGATTAAAACAAAATTAACAATCTTGAACTTGAGTAATAAAAATATGCCTGAGACTTGGTCTATTAAATATCTCCATCTATATTGAATAGATTCCTTTCACTGTCTATTCTTTTGGATTAGAATACTATTTTCAACTGCTGTACTGAAATCTTTAAGTATAAAAAAATTTAAACATGAATCATTAAAAATTATACTTTAAATAGTTCTCAGAAATAAGGCAAAATCCATGAAATAAACTATTATACAACTATAACACTGATTTTAATGTAATATTAAAGCACATACTTTCCTTTCGTTGAGTTTCGTTCCCACTGATTCCCATTTTTCTTTCAAGTTATTTATGTCTTGATCAACATTTGTCTCTGCAGTTTGGGGGCATGATGCAAGCATCTGTTGGCCTTTCTGCATCAGGCTCCTATAAGTTTCTTCTTTAACATCAAAGGCAGCACAAACTTCCTAAATGGAGATACCCTCAAGTTATACGGCTTTTAAGAGAATAGCATCTGAGAGTCCCATTTTTTCAGGTCATCAATCCCAAGCCGCTCGTCAAATGTTCATTTCTGGCATACAGAACTGTCACGATTAAACTTCACTATATTGGAACAGTACCGAAACCTACAGCCACGCTGTCTACTGAGAGAGACAAGAAGTGATGCTACCACGGCCATCCACTCTGGCCTGCTGAGGTCTAGCTTTAGTTTGCATGCAATCAGGAAAGGTTCTCTGCACAGTACCTAATCAGCTCTCAAGTAATTTAAGTTCTCTGGGTCTCAATTTCCAGCTCTGTAAAGTGGGGGGGGGGCTTCTACTTCCTTCCTGGTAATATGACAAAATAACTATAATATTTGATGTAATTTAATCCTTGATCCAGAAAACATGCAATGGATAGAAAGCAAAGTACAAGTGCAAAGTCATTTACACTGACTATTCAGTTTCTTGGATTACAACAGCCACACTTATGGTACTATGAATAGAATCTCACTTGAAACATTTTTAAAGCTTCCAATTTGAATGTAGTGTGTATCTTCTAGAGAGAATATGGAAGATTGTGCTTAAACAAATTCAAATTCTAAGACCAATGAAACAATAGACACATTTCATTTAAAAAATCAAAACTGGTTCTATTCCACTGATTGAATTACGATGTGGGTCAAATCAAGTTCCCACTGACAAACATATATTATGTCTCACTAAGATTTTCAGCCTTACAATCTTACGAACTTGGACATAATTCATATAGCATGAAATCCAACCTTTAAAAGTGCATATTCCAGGGTATTTAGTAAATACGTAAATTTAGTAAATACATAAATGCCACTAATTCTAGAACATTTTCTTTTTCACTTTTTATTAAGCTTATCGGTACATTTAGGTATACATTATGCTCACACTCGTCACTGGGAATTGGTAGTACTCGTACATGATGTATCTTGGTTCTTTTTTCCCCCATTCCTCTTCCCTCCCTTCCATCTCTCTACCCCTCCTTATTTACAATAATTTTGTTTCAGTTTTTTCCTTCTTTTCTCATACTTTTTCTTTTCCTTCTTCCCCTCTCCTTACTCCCTCTCCCCTTTTGTACCTTTTCTTCCTATTTCACATTATCTATTATACGTTTTGGTCCTCATTTATACTTTCAGTTTCTCATACCAGAGAAATTTTAAAAATTTACAGTAAATTAAAAAAACTTACTGCTATTTCTCCTCTTCAAAGTTCCCTCCCACTTTAAACACACTTATTCCACCATTCTTGCCATTGTCTGACGCACTTATGGAGTCCTCTTTCATGTCTTTATGATAGGGGTGATAAAAAATATGGCAAATGTTGCTACCTAGTACTATCCAAAGGAACGCCAGCCTCGTAAAAATATTTGTGTGTCTACATCCACCTTATTTACTGGATCTGGCATGGTGTGACTTCTGGCTCTTACCCAAAGTCAAAAATGACCATGAAAGGTAAATACATTGAATCAATTCAAGACACCAAGGCAGCCACAACAATGCAACAACTAAAGACACAAAAGGATTTCCACAACTGCTTTGGAAAGTGGTAACAATGATGGAATAAATGTGTTTAAACAAGGGGGAATATTTTGAAGCTGGAATATTGCCCTAGAAATGGGTGAACGTATTTTCCGGTATGAGTGTGGCTGGAAGGGTAATGTAGCTTTGCGTACTACGGTCTTTATCTGGTCCCTCATCCCTTCCTCTTCGGCACCGTTCCCTGCTCTGCTTCTCTGCCACCTTGAAGTGAGCGGCTCTGCCGTGCCACACCCTCTGCTACGGTATTTCTGCCTCGGAGTCGGCTGACTACGGACTGAATCCCCTTACGATGTGAGGCAAATTAAAATTTCTCCTCCATTGAGTGTTTGGGATCTGGTATTGTGTCCAGCAAAGAGAAGGGTGAAGAGCACACCACTCAACCAAAGTAAGTTGATATAAAATATTTTTCTAGAAGTATTCTAAAGAAGAGTTTTCTGCTTTCAAGTTCTTATATTCTTCTGAATTAACATTTTTAAGGTATTTGTTATTAAAATAATACTAATAATTTATTTGTTCAAGGGTTCATTAAATTTATAATTAACAGATTTTACAAATGCAACAGAAGCACTCTACAAAGGCAAGATGCTATCTTGAAGTCACTACTTAGGCTTTATAGAAAAGGAAAGTAAATACTCCCAAGTTTCACTTTTTCAGGGAAACAAGTGGGTCCCTTATATCACCAAACAATAACAACTACACACAATAAATTTCTGAAATAATTAGTATACTGTAAATTTCTAGAAAATTCTATACTGGATAACAGGACTTATTTTAATCATTCAGCATACATGTGAAAGAGTTCGATGTTATCTATATCAGTCTATAGTACTTCTTTACATCTGTAAAATGGTTAACCTCTCCATAACACCAAGTTCAAAATTACTTTCAAATTAAGTAAAATTTTATTTTTATCTTACAACATTAACTACTAAAGAGTATAGAGTTTCATGTATGATGGCCTGCTTCTTTGCCAAATCCTTGTTTCTAAAGATAGTGATTCTGGATACTGAAGATTAAAAAATATTTTGGATGCAAATTCATAAATGTAAAAAGTACAGAAACCATTTCATAAATATGAATGACTTTTTTTCTCAGAACTTTTAAGAGCTGATTCAAAGGTCCCCACAGATGCCCTGCAAATGACAATAATCAGGGGTATTCTAAGTTTGTCAGTCCACATTTCTAAGAAAGCGAGCTAGAGTTTCAAGTTTCCTCATTTTATGGCTCTCATTATTAAGAGTTGCCAGTGCCTCAGAAACTGGGCGAGAACAGCCCACAGACAAATGCTCCAGACTGGACAGTTCAACAGAAGCCTGCACCTCTCTCCACAGCTGGTAAGGTACGAAGATGAAGGCAGAGCTCTGTCATCATTAGAACAAGCCATTTCTTTTAAAAGAACAAGAACACATTTTCCAGTTTTTCATGAGAAATATTCTTATATTCATATTCATACATAGATATATTTGAACAATAATTTTAAGTTTAATTTTTTAGGACTGGAGATTTTTCTTTACACTACAAAGCACAGTCATATATGACTTACACAATATTGTACAACATCCATAAAAGCTTATCGTTTGGTGGAGACACCTTTGCTTCCAAAGAAAACTCTAGACTCCTAAACTTTTTTCCTATATGCTGACAAGACTAACTTCTGAAATAAGGCTAGGTTCTGATTTAAAAGATTTAATCACTAAATGGTTTTGTTTTCAGCACTTACACAGTGATTTCTTCTATAAAATTATATCTTTTAAAACCTTCTCTCATTATTATTTATGTATCACCAGGGCCCACCCAAAACAGTCTGTTAGATTGAGGCTAGACCTGTAGGAGATACTGTACTTACCATGTGGGCATTAAGCTGCTCTTTGGCCGTTTCCGGCAAACCTCCCAGAGGCTTAGACGCCAACAGGTGACGCTCTGTGTCAGTCAGCCACTGCTGCAAATCCTCAATCTCGCCATGGAAGCCTTTGGCCTGAATGGATAGGGAGTTTTAAATTTGGGTTATAAACACTCACTTTCAGGTACAAATTTCAAGCAGCCCCAGCCTGCTAAGCCTCCCTCTACCTTGACTGCCAGGAATCACTAGATTTGCCTACTTTTCTTCATCGGGGAGCTCATCAGATAAAGAGTATTATGCTAACAACTAGAAAGCTATCTCTCTTCTGCTCTACTCTTTATCCGACTTATTCTCCTTAAAGTATAAGAATGAAACAGCAGACTCTGAACTAAGGAAAGAAATTCAGGCTCTTTTGGTCTTGAAAACCCCAGAAAGTTTCAGAATTTATTATCTCTAATTACCTGGTGCAAGGCACCATCCAGCTGCTGCTTCCTTTGTTCTGTTTTTTCCAAAACATTTTGCCAGCGTTGATTTAAAACCTCGAGCTTGTGCTGAAGGTTGCTTGCTTCTTCTCCTGCACTTGATTCAATTAGATCATTTCCTGCTTTATTGACAGCTTCCACTGTGGACTGATGCGCTAATACATCATTTTGGAGCACCTGAAAATATTACAGATATTATGTTTGCTAGTTGGTACTGCCTTCAACATAAGTTTTTTGTTTGTTTGTTTGTTTTTTGGTACCAGATTGAACTCGGGTCCTTGCGTTTGCAAGGCAGGCCACCGAATCACTGAGCTAAATCCCTGGCCCCAACATCAGTTTTAACACAACTGTTTTATTTTCTGGTTATAGGATAAAAAAAACCCTCATAATAGAGTGCTAATGCTGCACTTTAAAATGATGGACTTCCTTTTCCCTTAATTTTGTTGTTCTCCTAGATCTACCTTTAGACTATCAATACCTCCTGAAACAATTATGTGAAAACATTTTGCTAGCTGTGCCCATTACAATGACGATGCAATTGATGTATTACATATGACAGGAGACTAACTAAACAGTTCAAAATGTTGTTTTACAGTTTAATTAAACTTAATTTTCATATCTCAATTTATTTATTTTCTCCTCATTGAGTTTATTGGTACATTTTAGGTATACAGTACAGTTACATTCATTATTGGGATCTTGTACCTTTACATGACAGGTCTTGGTTCTCATTTTTTTCCCCTTGTCCCTGCTCTCCCTTCACCCCCTCCTCCCCTCCCCTTTTTACAAACACTTCACTTCCATTTTTTTATTTCTCATTTTTTTCTTTTCCCTTATTACTTTTCCCCCACCCTTCCCACTTTCCCTACACCTGTAGCCCCTTTCTTCCTATTTCACATTGTCCATTATATCATTAGGATCTTATGTACTATTATAGTTTATTCACACCAGAGAAACTATTGGGTATTTACACATGTGTGACTTATTTATTTCACTCAGGAGTATATCCTCAATAATTTAAAATACACTTTTGCTCCTTATTTTCAAATATAAAATTATTCCATACCTAACATACATATTTTACAATTAGTGTTGTGAAAGAGAAGAAAGGACTCACTATCTCCTTATCTCAGCAAAGAGGTGCTAACATTACAATCTTACCCTACACTCACTGGCAATAATAAGGCAACAGAGCATCATCTCTCGACCTCTGTGAGACACCACCCATTTAGAGGAGATAGAACTGATGGGATTTTCATAAAAGGACAGTAGCCACGTATAGCATAGATTCTCTGACTGAATTCATTCATTTTCTGAAGCATCTGGTGAAGGAGTGTTTTCCAAAGGCTGTAAAACCAACTGGACAAGGAGTTACCCTTACAGAAAGCACGTGCTTTGTTAATAGAGAGAACCACTTTTTCAAGATGTAAGAGTTAAATATTTCTCCTTGATCAAATTTAAATGATAATTCCATAAAAATTCGTGTTTCCAAATGGTCTGGGTCCCACTACAAGGTCAGAGCCTAAGAGCAGGAGAAAGCTTCCTGAAGCAGCTCTGCCAGGAATTTTAACAGTTTTCTAACTTTTGATCTTTGATAAAAGGAAGGAAAAGAGAAAAAAAGGAGACATTTCTAACTACTCAAAGACAGATAAATGATTCAAAAGTCCCCAGAGATCCCCTGCCAAAATAACTGGATCCCCATACCTCGTATTTCCACCTCTGCTATATTATACCCAGTTCTTATCACTGATGCAGACTTTTTAAGGTAGCACTATCAGGTCTGTAAAAGTATAAGTGCTCTGTAACTCACCCTATGAAAATAAACATATTTTGTTTTTATGCAAAATCAGTTTGACCAGTCATTACTGCCCTAAGCAAAGGTATAATGTAGACATTAAACAGTGAAGCAGGCTTTCACATAAACATTAACTGTAAAAATAAATCCTAATTTTTCAATTAAATATGCCTTGGTATGATTATCTATATAAATAAGACCAGGTGAAAGAAAAAGAAAAACTTAAATCAGGGAGCAACTACTATTATGAAAGAACTAGGGAAGAACTAAAGCAAGAATGGTCAAAAACCATTTTAAATGCTAATAATCTTTTATTTGAAATGCATAATATGTGGTAAAGGCTACATACGTGATGTTTGGCAAGTTCAATTTCAATGGCTTTCGGGTCACCACCAACAGGCTTCTGTTCATTTAGCAAGCCCTCAGTGTGTGTCAGCCATGCCAAGAGCTCATCCAGAGCATGCTGAAACTGACCCAGGGCCAGCAGAGCACCCTCCAGCTTGTGCTACCAAAAAAAAAACAGAGGGAGAAAATCCATTTATGAGTTTAATGTTTAAAATGACATGCATCTGTAACACAAGGGCAAAAATCAACTGCTTCATGCTGTGTAAGTCTGTAAGCATAACCCACGAAGCCTAATCATCATATCCTTCTACATTTTCAGTTTAGCATCCTTCATAGATTAAAAAAAAAGACATAACCGAGGACATTTCTAATGAAATAAAGAGGGTATGGGTAATTCATATGGGTATGTATGTAACTGCCTAAATTCATTTTTTGTAATCAATGTACACTGATACGTGAGACGGACAATGTATACCTTCTTAACAGGCTTTTACCTGTCGGTTGATAATTCTCTCATCCAGGCTGTCCCATATCAATTTCAGTTCCATTAACGGGTCTTGAACTGTGTGTTTGTCGCTCTCCTCTGTTACTTTCTTCAGCAAAAGTTCTGCTTGATGGTTCAGCCTTTCCATTTCTATCTGTTGTTGATAAGTCTCTGACTTAAATTGCTATTTAAAAAAGATATATGCAAGGAAAGTTTTTATCCATCAGTAACTTAAGCCAAAAATCCTGTGGGTTAAAGCTTTGTATTTTCTTTTGTTTTTCCAATTGAGTTTATTGGTACATTTTAGGTATATCGCACAGTTACATTCATTATTGGGATCTTGTACGTTTACATGACAGGTCTTGGTTCTCACTTTTTCCCCTTGTCCCTGCCCTCCCTTCACCCCCTTAAACTTTGTATTTTCAAGGTTTAGCTTACTTTCGGTATCTAATTATATATTCAAAAATGAATTAAGATTAAAGGAAAGAAAATATATTAATATATATGAAAATCAGAAAACAATGTCTCCAAGAAAGTATTATTTTCTCTAAGCATATACTCATCTTGCACCCAATTATTTTATTTTTTTGAGGCTATGCGCACTCACTAGTACTGTATGTAGTTATTCCCATGCCTCACTCACTGCTGACACAGAATTATATTATTCTCTCTCCTGGTGCTTTTTTTTTTTTTTTCCTTGGTACCAGGGATTGAATTCAGGACCTTGAACTTGAGAGGCAGGCGGTGGAACCAATGAGCTAATAATAATCTTGGCTTGCCAACAAGGGGTTAGAAAATGAATGACTGCAACAGAAAATTGTCACATCATAAAGTATCCTCACAAAGTATTTACTGAACCTGTAATAATAGTGGCTATACAGTTCCTTAATTTTCTTTCAAGCATATGGAAGTAATCATTAAAAAACCGTAACTAGGGCCAGAGATTTAGCTCAGCCTCAAAAGTGCAAGGTCCTGAGTTCAATCCCCAATACCAAAAAGGAAAAAAACAAAAAAAAAAAAACCAAAAATCAAAAAACCAACAAAAACTAACTAAAGTGAACAATTGTTATGTTCAAATTATTCTCAACCAACTTGTAAGGAACATAATTTTGTCTTCTTATTAATCTAAGGACACAGCAACAAGACAGTCAGATAACCTTCCTGAGATCATCTGGCTAGTCAGCTGGATGAACGGAAACACATGGATCTCAGAGTGAGCCCTCCTGTGCAGCCCGCTGACAGCCAGTATGCACAAGTGTTCAAACTAAATTCTCTGCACCAGTAATTGTACGTACAGTAGACTGTGTGTTTACAACAGGACAACCTAAGTAAAACAAAAGAAAACCCCTCCATCTAATGATGGCAACAACAAAATTCTCAAAAAATAATTTATTTTTAAATAAAATACTGTCAGAGATGAAAACGCTACCATTTTAAAGGCAGATTACAATTTTACATGAAAATCTAATGGAGACCACCGTCAGAAGAATTAGGAAAAATCTCACTGATCTCACTTTGATAAATAATCATTGGTACAAGAGAATCCAAAGAGAAAGTCTAGCCATTTTCACAACTAGACATCGAGGACAACAAAAACAAAAACGACAAGGGAAAACAGAAATACTGGCGTGATTCTTGAGGATGAGAGAAGAGGCCAAGGCGGGAAGTGAAATTGAGTTGTTACTGTCTGGGGAAACACTATTATACTACGGATATGCTTTTGGCCTGAAAGACTAAATAAATGACTCAGAACACATGAAAAGAATAAAAATGTTGCTGATTTATTAGACTGGCTACACTCTAACAGTATGATCTAAATACATTTCTCCCCTTTCTCCCCACACACATATACATCCCATACGCCCTTCCTGCCTCCAACATGAAGATATCTGAAAGGCTAACAATTAACTTCTCAGAGTAGCTGTTTCTGGGTACAAAACTTTTCGGGTGACTTAGAAAAACTGGTTTTTCTCTCTTTTTTTGTATATTCTGATTTTTCTACAATGAATAGGTATTAATAAAAAGAAAACAGCTAAGTTTTATTTCCTTTATTTAATGAGCACTTGTCTAGCTTACTACATGTAGGCACTATATTAAACCAGCTTCAAAATTAAAATTTAATGCTTCAATTATGTGAAATAAATACATTTATGTAAAAATTCTGCGACTCAAGAACTTAAAAGTGGAAGGCTAGGGGTGCAGTTCTGTGGTAGAACATTTCCTCAGCAAACAGCAACATTTTCTGAGCACTCCTTAGTGAGGCCATGCATTAGATGCCCAGAACCAAAAACAATACAAACAAGCAACACATGAAAAAAGAACTTTAAAAATGCCAAAAGTCTCTGATAAATTACACAGTCTCCACACATACCTTTAGCTCTTCAATCTGCTGCTTCACAGTTTCAAGATCTGTTCCGATTGGAGACATTGAAGCTAATTTACCACCTGCAATATCCACCCAGTCAAATACTGCCTGAAAGACACATTAGCCCAGGTGTTACCACATGGTGCATCTGACATTGCTATAGTATCTCATAAACCAATACAGACATTATGGAATTAACCCATTTCATAAAAATTAAAGTGGTTTACCTCAATAAAAGCAGTACTACAATGGAAGAGTTGTCCCAATTTTGCATCCAAGTTTTCAGAAGAAATTCTTTACTAAATAGATTCTCAGGATATTAAAAGCTTTTTAAAACAATCTAAACTCATCCATTTATCGAAATAAGCAATTCTGTTCAGCATTTGGGCAAAATATTGGGCTCAACTAAACCCCTACATAATATTAGCATTAAAATCTTACACACATAAATGATTAGTATTAAGACCATTATTATGAATTCCAATACAGACTTCAGAGTTCTCTACTCTTTTTCTTCTTTTTAGGTGATATCAGTCTAGAAAGGCTCAACACATTTTTTATTGTGCACTTTAATGAAGTTGCCAGACCATATAATGGGGGAAAATCCTGGAAAATATCTGGTATTTAAAAGTTATCATAAATCAACCCTAAGAACTTAAGCCGTAACTTGGGAAATAAAATGTATTTCCTTTATAATGAAACCCTGGACCCTCTGGAGCTTTGAACGTCTAATGATACTAGCACAGCTATTTAGTAAACCAAGACGCCCTTCAGGACAAACAGGTGGTGCTAATGACCTAAGACCAACAGGGCCTACGAAGACTCTTGCTTTTCCAGCAGTAGCAAGGCCTGTGCACAGTCACAGTGTCTGTCTGTGGCCTCCCCTAAGTGACTGCACGTAGCCCTGGAGGACAGTGTAACTCAACAACTCAGCACCATGACCTGGCCTGACTATCACTCTGATGAAAATGGGTGGTGGTGGGAAAATGAGGTGCTACATGTAGTGAATTTTTTCATATATTTCCAAAGCCCAAAGCTCTTTTCAGCTGACTTAAAGCCGGGCTGGTGATATTTATTTTGACAAACACAGACATAGGGTGGCATAACAAAAAAGGAAATGATGTTCTCATTTGAGTTTTTAGAATAATATTCACTTAGTGTTATGGAAATATTTAAAGGGGCTTTCCCACATGGTAAAAGGATGAAAGATTAAATGCCTGCCACCTGTTCGGAAATGGAACAAAGGCAAGGAGACAGTGAAAAAATATCTTATCAACTGATAAGAGGATTTTTAGTATTAAAAAATCAACTTGTAAATGGTTAATGAATTGAACAAGCCTTTGAGATGTAGAAAACAACTACTAAAACAAACTATATATACATACTTTTTATGTATCTGATTATGACCCAGTAAAACAGAAATCTATTTTGGTACAGGGAGAACACTGGCTTCAAGTCAAATCACTTTACTTTTGACTTTAAACTTGGTTATATTTTTGACGGTGTTTACTCCTTTCATCTTATTCCACTCTATTTCAGAATAGAATTGAGACTCAGTTCTATTTCACTGTCTAGTGCCGAACCATTTATGAAAAAGGCTGCACAGAAACATTTATTTTTACATTTTTTTAGAAAAAGTATATTTCATTTTAAAGTAAATTTCACTGTGTGTACGTAACAATATTTGTAGATGTGCATATGAGTCAACACACCTAAGGGTCAGCAAGATTTTCTTAAAGGCAAAAACAAATCAAAGTAGCCAGACAAATGACAGGGCAATATTTACCCACAACTGCATGCACACTTGCAGACCTGGGATGGCGCCAATATATACATTTACAGACATCAATCAGTAGAGTCCTCCTCCTGCTGTGAGAATGGGCAGATGCACTGTAACAGCCTTACCTGCAGTCCATCCTGGTACTGAACCGCAGCCTGCATGGCCTCCTCCAGTCTGTCAATCCGATCTTTCCAAGCTTTGTTTAGAGAATCCCACGCTGAATTTAACTAAAAATAGAAACGTTACAACTCTTTTAGCGTCAAATCTGAATTCTGATTACTTTTAACAAATATATTTTGGTTAACTATATTTTTAGAAGAGGATTCTGCTAACAGCAGAGAAGCCAGCTGTACCTCATCTATGCTCTTCCTGACAATGGGCTTATCGGGTTCTCCACATGCAGCAATGAGTTCTGATCCCAGGGTAATGACCATGTCCAGCTCTTCCTGCAGTCCATCTATTTCTTCCCTTATAGCCTAGAATAAGAAAATGTAGCCTTAAAATGTTAGAGGTGTACACAAAGATGCTGATGGTAGTCAATTCTAGGTGGGATCAGAATTATTTTCATTTCTTCTGTTTTTCCAACTTTCTGCTACAAATGTTCTCACAAGGAAACAGAAGAAGTATCTTAAAGGAAAAAAAAAAACTCTCTTTAAAACTGCCAAATCTTTATTATTAAAAAAAAAGAAGTAAACTGTACCAGAACAAATTCTGAAAAATACCCATAGTATAAAGTACAGAAAGACATTTTGTTTGCCAAATCAACTAGCTTAACAATATGCACTTAAAGTGGACATAAGAAAAATGAGTCCAAAGGCTTTATAGTGATTAATGCACTTGTCAGTACACTGAGGACAACCTAGCTTTGAATTTACACTTTATGCTATTACCCTAGGAAGTACTAATAAATTATTATAGTATTGCAGCAGAATGGAAGTGCCCTACCTTTGCTTTCACGTTCTGGGTAAAAACATATTTACTCATTTGACAACATTTAAGAAGCATGAACTATGCCCTACACTAGGCACTGGGATAGAGAGAAAAACAGATCTGTCTGTTCCTCTCAAGGGGACCACAAGTCCAGTAGAAAAGACAGAAGTATAGGTAAGCACCATCAGTCACACTATGTGTAGAGTATTTTGTAGGAAAAAAGTATTATAGGGACAAACACGGCAATCATACTCAGCAGATAGTTCTGCTAAGAATATAAGAAAAGATTTATATGGGTGGTACTACTAAACCAAAAGAGTATTAATTTTTTTTTTTTTTTAAGACCAGGGATCAAACTTAGGACTTCATGCTTGCCAGGCAGGCGCTGTGGCCCGGCCCCGGAACATTAATTCTTGAGGATGTGCCACAAAAGTGACACAAAGGGCATTTCAGCTGAGGAAATAAAATATGCAGAAACACAAAGAGATACTAGGAAGAATAAAACTGTGTGTGGGGTCCACTTTCCAGCTACCAGACTAGAGAAGCTCGGTACGGGACTGGTGGAACACTTGCTTTTGGGGGCATGGGCATGGGCTAGGGTGGGCTGTGAAAAGCTCCACAGCCTATCCTAAGGCAGTTTGGGCTTTATCCAGCAGGTGTACCGCGGAGGGCTTTTAAGCAACAACACAATTTGAGCAGGTCCAGAAAGAGGACTGGCAGCCAGGTTAGAAGGCTGGCAAGAAAGGGACCCTATACCTCGGGAGGGGGGAGAGGGAGCGAGGGAGGGGGAGACGGAGAGGGACAGGGAGAACACAGGGGAGGGGAGGGTTAGAGGGAGGGAGGGAGAGAGAAAGAAGGAAGGAGCCGTGGAGATGGACAGAGTTATTTTGCTTCTAGATTTCTAAGGGAAATTTGTGGGTGTGTCCTATTTCCTACTAATCCTTATGCATTCCATGTTCAAAATCAAATATAAATTGTAAGAGTACTTCCTAATATTTGCTAAAGAAATGAAGGCTTCATTAGGCCATAACTTGCTTTTTAACTTTAAATGAGATTTTCTGCTTACCTCTGCTGCTTCTTGCTGCTGTTTTACTACTGAGGGATCAATTCCAGGATCTTCCAGGTCACGAATTAGATCTTGAGTATCTTTAGTGGTAACCACCAGTGACATGTGATCACACCAGAACTTTTCTGCTAGTTCCATTACATCCAAGAGTTTGGCTTCTCTTTCTTCCACTAGTGTGTGTATGTTCTCCCAAATGAAAACCATTTGGTCAAGCTTATTCTGAATAGCTACAAAAAAACATTGATTAGCTCCACTTAAGCAATAAAGTGAAACATCTTAGTTCATACTGAAAACAGTGATTCAATGGGCTAAGTATCTAAACTTGGCTCATAGCACTCAAGTGGGTATCACTGGGCCCAAGAGCTCCTCCAGTTAATGCAATTTCTGTGATTCTCCTATTTCTGCTGAACCAAGAACTTTCCTGACAAAAGTCAATGCTCAAAGTTATTGAGCTTAGAGAAAACCTAAGTTTACCAAGTTTTAAACTCACTAATGTTGGTCTTAATCCAAATGAAAGTGCAGTGCCACCTGACTATTGTTACGCTCTCGAAGAATAAAGTAGTTTGTTCAGTCTCAGAAATAGAATAATACAGGCTGTGTATTTTGGCTTTGTGGCTAGAGTAAGTTATCATCAATTTCCACAAGCACGTGTTCTTCCTAGTGACCCTAGTGTATGGCTCTAAGATGGCTAATGTCTTTCTATGGTCGTGAGAGAGGGAAGGCCTGCTATGTAACACACAGCAGTCAGGAATAAGGAAAAAAAATGTATATATTTAAAACCCCTATTTGGCCTTGTTAACATCATGCGTTTAAAATACCGGCAGAACATATGGTTTTTGCATACTAGCACACCTTGTATTCAACTGATTAATTTCACAAACATAGGACGACAGTAACGGATCTGTGCGCACAACCCTTCAACCCTAAGCACGTTATATCTGTAACACCTTTTGAAAATCTGGCATTTTGTTATGCAACTGGATGTCCGAGAACAGCATAAAATTTAGGGTTATCGTGAAAGTAAAGCTGAACTGTTTCATTACTCCACGATTATTACCTTTGGCAGATACATCTTTATCAGTGCCCCCAGATCTGGCAATCATCTCTTCTCCCCTCAACTTAAGAGTTTCATACAATGGCTGCAGCTTTTCCACGTCCACTGATGTGTTCTTATTTTCACTGATCTGCTCCTTGATCTTCTCAACCTCAGCCGAGATGGAAGGCGGCTGCCTAAGACGCTCCACAACACGCTCCAGGCTCTCACGGACCTGGTCAATCTTGTCGTGGAACTAGTGACAGAGCACGGATCATTTATGGGGAAAGGTCAATGATACTACACGGGGGATGTCAATGAAAACATCTAATTTATTCAATTACAAACAAAATCTAAGTCCCTTTATCAAAACATCTATCCAAGAGTGAGCTCTAGCTAGCATATGGAGACTTGACTGAAATTATAATTTGTAGGTATCTCTGCATCACACTACTTAAGCAGAACGGTTTCTAATACATGATTAAGTGCATTAACAAATGATATATGTTAACATATGAGGACCGCTTAGCAACAGAATTTGTTTTATTCTACTGTTTCATCTTACCATAATTCAAATAAATTTTTAAAATTGTGCTCAACAAGCCTACTAAAACTGACTTTCTCCACTTTTCATGATTACTTTGACATCTTCCAAAGTCATACTATTAAACGTGAAAATCATGGGCAGTTTTCACTACATTTAAGGGGTTGCATTTCTGGAACTAAAAAAAAAAGTTTAAAAATTAAAGCTTTCTTCAACAGTGTAACTAGAGTTTGTATTTGGGGCTGAGAAAGTAGCTCAGTGGCGGAACCCATGCTTAGACACGGTTTCAATGCTCAGCCCCTGTTCCAAAAAGTTTGTATTTACTTAACAATTAAGCAAAGTTATAAAAAATTTGGCTATTCATAATTTCTATACTGGCCTCAAAATTAAAGGAACCACCACTCAGGATTATAGAAAATGGAAACTCTAAAGTCCTGAATCTAACAAAAAATGAGACCTTGAAAATGCAAAGACTACAAATAATTTCAAAATTCAACTTCTTGCAAAAAGATATTTTCAAAGAAGAAAAAAATCCAACCCCAACTTTATATTCTTAGCCTTTTTATTTGGCTGATCATTTAGAGTTTCCTCTTATTGGCTTCTTAATGATGACAGGGACACTTTCTATCTGCCAAGGGCAACATTGAATTCCATCAGGATGGACACTGAATTAAATATCAGTACAATAATAGCATCTATATGTTTCTGAGTCACTTAAAATTATTTTTATTGCATTGTGCAAGTGAAACTATAAAGGCTGGATGCAAGCAAATATCACCTCTAAGAGACAAAGTGTCAACACTCTGAGTGTAGTAAAATAATTTTCGTTGAAATTTAAGCAGGGAATCCATGAAAATGTCTTCTCATGCTTTACTGTTTAGAAGAACAAAACTACTTCTAGTGTAAATGATTACCTGAGTTGACTGAGACATGGCTTCATCCAGTGCCACGGCACGCTTTTTGACATCTTCTTTAATTTGACTATAAAGGGCGTCAGCTGCCACATACTTCTCTTGAATAGAATAGCCTTCCCCTGGGCTCAATTCCAGTAACTGTGGCCCAGTCTTGTTCATCTTATCTATGTGTGGCTTATGTTCAGCAATCAACTCTCTCAGTTGCTATAACAAACCAAACAACTTCTCAGTATCTCAGGGTTACACCTCCTTGTTACAGCTGTCTACGCCTCCAATGCCTCCCTCCAGTTGGCAAGAAACTCCAAACAAAAGCCCTACTCACTGCAAGGCATTTAGCATGCAATGGTGCATACAACTCTGCCTGGAACACATGGCTCTAACACAAAGGCTAAGCAGTCTAGTAACACCAACGCCCTTTTTCAGGGATACATAAAAAAATGCTGGTTGAATGAAAAAACGACTCTCAGTTCATCATGCATTTCATAACAGCAGCAGTACATTCTGACAAGAAAATCAGCCAAGGGTCATTTTACACAAAAGCATTCTTAACTCCTATGTCCTCATAGGGAACAAACCATAACTCGGTATTCCTTTTTGCCAAAGGAATTTATTTACAAAAGCATAAAACGAAGAGGACAGGGAGTGAGAGAGAAGGGAAACAGAGAGACAGAACGCTCAGTGGAAGGCAGGCACAACGCTAACAAAGGGAAACAAAGGGCGTGAGGGTGATGTATGTTCACATGAAACTGAATTTACATACATGAACCAGTGTAAGACGACACTGTACCAAGATGATATGGTAAATGTCAAGTAGAATGCCCCAAAGTTTCATGTGTTGGAAAGGTGACGGGCACGATGGGGACAAGGCGTTCATCACTGAATTAACCCACTGCTGAGGGCACAGCTGAACGTACTATTAGACCGTGAGGCCTGCTCGGAAGGGGCACACACTGAGGGTGCGACCTGGAAGGGTGCATTCTTGTCCCTGGGCTCCTCCCTCCCCTCTGCTTCCAGACCACCTTTCACCAGGACTTCTCCACCCTGGAGTTGGCCAAGAGAGTATGCTGAAATTGTGAGCCAAAATAACCTTCTTCTAAATTGAGAGTGTTGGGTGTTCTGTCCCAGTGAAAGGGGAGCTAATACGATATTCCTCAGATGATTCCCCCACTTCAACACACTCATCCCAGCCTTCCCGTCACTGTCTGAAGTAGTTCTGAAGTAAGTCCTCTTTTGTGAGTGTCTTTATCAGGTGTGACACGGGGAATACCGACGCGAAGTACTATCCAAAGTAAAGGCAGACTTGTAAAAGCATCACAGTGTGTCCTCTTCTACCACGTCCATTCCACCTGATACCTGGTGACTTTGGGCTCTCCGCAAAATCAAAATGACCACGAAAGGTAAACGTTATGAACCGAATCAGGTCAATAAGGCAGATACAAAAGAGCAACTGAAGACATTTACAAAAGACAACTTCCAAAGCTGCTTCAAAAGTGGCAAGAATGATGGGCTAAGTACGTTCCAAGTGGGGGTGGTATTTTGAGGGGGGTTAATGGCAATGTATCTTTTACTATAATAAAACATTTTAAATTTAAACATTCACTGTACTTTTTGATCGTGCCTTGTGTACTAGAACCTATTGTACATATTATGACATATGGACATTACACATGCACATATGAATGAGTCTACTTCTCTTTGTTTCTTTAAAATGTTTGCAAGGGCTATCAATCTATCAAATATATAGCTATTGAATGTTATTTGCAAGATGCATTTAAATAAAAGTGTGTCATGTGATGAGTATGTTGCACACTTTTGCCATCTCATCAAGAGCTACAGTGACAGTTATGCTAACGAATGGAGGTGAAACCCAGGGAGAGTCCCAGGTGCTCTAGTGAAATGATCTGCTGGGAGCCTGAAAAAGACTAGTACATCTCTACTTCATGGGTCCTGGGCCCGCCACTGAGCAGTTGCTCACGGGTGAAATCCAAAACCACTTGAGGGAAGTCTGTGCTTAAGGGTTTCTGAGGTCAGCCCTAAGCAGTACTGAGGAACCTTTCATTTGTGCCACATTATGGATTTGGCTCCCTCACCGGAAGATACATCTCTGTGCTGTTTGCTATCTGGCCACTAGTAAGAGTCTCTCTGAGAGAAATGATATACAAGAAAGACAGTCTAGAGGTAAGCTACCAATTTTTTTTAGAACCAATTAAGAAGAATCACCAAGATGGACACAAAACTAGTTCTTATTCAAACTGTCCATTAAAACCTCTCTTTGTGAGAACTTGTTGAGGAAACTGGTACACCATTATCTATTCCGAGTAAAATAAGCTATTTAAAGAGTTTTTCTGAAGGTTGCCTGAAAGTAATTTTGGAAGTGGCCGCATAATCACAAATCCAATTTCAAAAAGGGGTTGGGCGACTATCTAACATGCTTCATATAAGAACATGGGAAAGCCAAGCCTGCAATCTAGCGCCTACCTATTCCTGGCTGAGTGACCATCTTTGTGCTGCTCTGTAAAATGGAGGTGGTGATGGCAGTCTCAATTACTACAGAATCACATGAAAAAGGAAAGATGAGGATATTGCACAGGTTTTAGAAGGGATGCTTAGAGAACGAGCTTACCTGTCTCTCGGGTGAAATGCTAAGGTTTCTTGAGCTGCCTAGAGATCTCCTCTGTGCAGCCCAACTATGAGGCAACTTAGCCTGAGACAGGAGAAGTGAAATGAGCCCTGTGTGGACCCTTCTAGGACAGGCTAGGGGACATCCACGGGGCGTTTCTTCAGGGGTGTGTGCGAACGGGGAAAAGGCTAGGTAAGAGACGACTTTGCTTCACATGTGACAAAATGTTTCCTGGAGTCAGTCAGGCTGGAGGTACACAGTGTGACACTAAGGTATCTAAAACTTAGTGATATGCCTTAGGAACCATTTCTTATCCTTGGGCAGTAGAAACCCTTAGATCTTCCGCCAGAATAGTAGATATTGTAGAACTGGAGAAGACATGCCATTCTGGATAACAGCAAATATTTTGAAAACTTTTAACCTGCACAAGTTAAAGAATTGGCTATAAATCTTATTTCTCTTTAAATATGTAATCATAAATGTTTCAAAAGATTACACAAAAAAGGAAAATCAACTCAATTTTGAAATTTTCAACTCCATACTTATCCTTTCATTACTATATGATGTGTTAAAAAGTCAAATCATCTAGTAGAAATTCACAAAACATTTGCATAAAAAAATCATTCAGTGACAAAGGCTCTAGTGAGGTCCCACCAAGATTTGCATAAGATCCTAATGATACAATGGACAATGTGAAATAGGAAGAAAGTGGCTAAAGGTGCAGAGAAAGTGGGAAGGGCAGGGGAAGCTAATAAGGGAAAAGAAAAAATATGAGAAAATGAAAAAAAATGGAAATGAAGTATATGTAAAGGGGATGGGAGGAGGGGAGAAGGGAGGGCGGGGACAAGGGGAAAATATGAGAACCAAGACCTGTCGTGTAAAGGTACAAGATCCCAATGATGAATGGAACTGTACTGTATACCTAAAATGTACCAATACACTCGATGAGAAAAAAAATCATTTAGTGAATAGGCATCATGATTTCTTAAACTAAAATTTAGTTCTACAGTTTATCTTTTCTTGCTTAATGATTGAGAGAGTACTCCATAAAATTTTCATTCTTAAAGTATTCTCTAAAACTGTCTTCTAGATGAATACCTCAGTTAGAGGAAATCTTCAGTGCCAGTACATTAAAAAAGCAAACAAGCAATATTAATAAGTATGTTACATATTCCAAACAGTGCAAACAGTGGTGCAATATACCCCAAGATAAAGCGCCAATCTTTATGCAATTCTTGTCCTGAGTTCTTTTGTTTGTTTTTGGTACTGGGGATCAAACTCAGGACCTTGCATTTGTGAGGCAGGCAGCAGCACCACTGAGCTAAATAAATCCCTGGCCCTCTGAACAAGTCTTAAAAGTACATTTTTTACAGATCTGGGAGAACTAGGTTCACAATTCCATAAACAGCAAGGACTTCAGAGTTTTTCTAACAGTCTTGAATCCCCCTTTTACCCAAATTCTTGCAAAATTTTAAGTGACAATAACAATTAAGTGACTGCTAGAATGCAGGCTTCAGAATGTCATTCCAATTATGTTTAAACATATTATAACTCTGGATATAAACATTCTCTCTAATGTGCTTATCTACACTTAAAAGGAGCAAGAATGTCAGAGCCTCGCATATACAAAGGGGAAAAAAAAAAGGGGAAACAACTTGTCTCTATACTTCAGCACACATTTTTTTCAGATGTCACGATATTTCTATTTTGATGTTTTCACGATCTTGTTATTTTCTCCAAGGGCTTTGTCTGTGTGATGGCTCTGACTGTTACATAGAAAGACTAAAATTTACTCAACATGTGTAAGTTGAAAGCAAATCAACAGGTGTAATCTGAAAGCATTTAGAATCATATTTCTCTGATATGCAAAAATGGAATCTTCTTTTGCCCAGATGGTACACACAGCATATTATTCTATAGAAGTCATGATTCTATTATGAAATACACAATGCATTCTACCTATACAAGTCTTTTTGGGGGGGCGGGGGTTTGAGACAGGGTCTCACTAGGTTGTAGAGACTGACCTGGAACTCACTATGTAGTCCAGGTTGGTCTCGAACTCACAGTGATCCTCCTGACTCAGCCTCCTGAGTGCTGGGATTACAGGTATGCACCACCATGCCCAGCCATACAAGTCTTCTCACTGATTTCTAGGAAACAAGTTAAGCAGCTGTGAAGTAAGTAAATTGCAAACTAAATAGAGTATTGCTAAAATGCCATACTCAGGTAATCTGGGTAACAACTCTGTTCAAAACCACGATTCGTTTTTAAGCATTAAAAATAATCAAAACCACAACTCTTTTTCAGTGGAGAATATCACATTCTCTTTTACCCTGAGCTTACCCGATGTTCTTCTTGCTGCTGTCTTAGAGTTTCATACTCGAGGGCTGGAGCAGGAAGCTGAGAGATGATTCTCTGTGTTTCTGTCAGCCATGGCCAGAGTTCTTCATACGTCTCCCAGAACTGGCTAACGAGGGACTGTGCCCGCTCTAGCTGCAGATACCTCTCTGAGTTTATCTGGCAGATGGCATCATAGTTTTTCAATACCTTGTCCAGTTTGTTCTGGAAAATAAGAAGATGAAGCATGTTTAACTGTCAGGCCAGCTAGCAGAGATATTCCATGTTGGGCTGTCCAGCACTATATGCCCTACAGAGTGGACATTCAACCACACTGTATGTGAAATGAGCAAGTTAGTAAAAGATATTTGGATTGTTTCTATATATAAAACCTCATTTTAAATTAAGGAAGGCCCTCATGCTTTTATGACTAATATACTGAGCTCTCCAAACACAGTAAGTGGAATTCTCCAGCCATTCTTACAATGCTCTCAAGATTGGAAAAATAAGTTTCCTATGATTCTCCCAGAATGTACATTATTTTCTGGGAAAAAAAGAACTATCGTTTGGAATTGAAATTATAAAAATTGCAAGTGAACAAAATTACATATATTAGAAGCAAAGTACTATCCTCTAGACTGATCTTTTGTAGCAGTCAGTGATTTGGATAATGGTATAAAGTCCCAGTAAAAAAGTAGTAAGATAAGGCACAATAGCAACCCAATAAACCCCTTCATGATGATCTACATTTTTCAAGTATGAATCTTTGCAAATATAGAAAATACTCAATTACAGACAAATCACTATTTAAATATAAGAAGATATTATGTGATCTATTATTTTATCTATGGTACACCTTAAAAATAATGTCTTCAAAAATGTGATCTTAGGCATAAACATTTGTATATACTGAGTCCTCCAAAACAATGTATACATACTTCAGTGGTTTGCTGTACTACTCAATGTCTGGAAGCTAATAGCTACCACTTTAAGCACCCCCCATAGTTACAGAAGCCAAAGGTAACATATTAATCTCATGATGTCTCAATAAATTTAATATTAAAATATACAAATTTTTCCTTTCCTGGTGTATACATTTTCTGGGAAGACTCTGTATTTACTTTCCTATCAGCAGCTGTTTTCTGGCCAGAGGCACTAATTTACAGGAATATTAACAGTACACACATAGGATGCTTTATTAATTACTCAGTTCACTTTCGCCCTAATATGGTTACTGCAACTTTAAACAGAATGGATTTCAGCATTAGAGAGAACCAGGTATTCAGGGTTTTACTTCAGCTTGAGTCCCAAATGTTCCTGAAGCCTATAAACCACAGCTGACACATATAATAATGTTATTTTATACTGATAAGAACAGTTGCAACACAGCTTATATTAAGTAAATGCTTAATGTATACCAGTTAATCAAGGACTCAAACTTTAATAGCTTTTACACCTATTAAAAATGATTGTCCTCATGATGACTCCCTGAAGGAATATTCCTTTCACTGTTATTTTGTGAGCTTAAAAAAATGTCTTATTTAAAGCTAATGAGGGTGCCACTGCCTGCCTTGCAAGCACAAGGTCCCGAGCTCAATCCCTGGTACCAAAAATACAAATACATACACACATACATACAACTAACGATTATGCTGATTAAACAGAAGCTGTGGATAAAGGAAAATTGCTTTTCTAACCTAAAGCTCAACGCATGCTGTTTATTCAAGAGCCTCACAAACAGTAACACAGTAAAGATTATACCTTCATTGATTGCTTTTCCTCTTCACTCAGTGTGGGCATGATTTTATCCCCCGATTTAACAAGTTCATCAATAATATCCTTGTGTCTCAAAATCTCCATGGTGAATGTCTGTGATTTCCCAAGATTTAAAAAAAGAAAGAAAAAATGTATGACTGAAATAAAAACAATTAGGCAAAGTAGTTGAAAATATCAAGTTACACTGAAGGGGTCTTGAAGAATAAATCACGCCAGCTTATTTCCTAATCTTGGATCACAGCAGCAAACAATTTCAATGGCAACTGGAAATGTATTTCTTCACCTTTTGAACCTGTAGCTGAGCGGAAGTCTGGTCTTGCTCAAGCCTGATGTCACCCAGAGACATCAATTTCTTTTCTGTTTCAGTAATCCAGGATAACTCAGCATCAGCAGCTTGGTCAAACTAAACAAAAGATAAATAATTAAGTCAGCAAGTTCTTGTAACTGGTATCAGAAAAATACCTACCTAGGTTTTTTAAATATTCTAATTATACAAGTGGAAACTGAGCTTATCCCTTCAGGGCATTCTGAAATAATTCACAAGGATCACTTCCCCAGAAAAATTAAACACAACCTCTTAAAACACAGTGAATCCAATGACAGACAATGTATTAATTATTTTAGGTTGACTAGCTCCATTGCCTTCTGTGTTAATTGGCTCTTTAAGAGTGTAAGCCAAATGTAAAGCTATAAAAGTCAACAACAGCTAGACACTATCTTTAACCATCTATCTTACCTGTCACCTCAACTCATGACATACAGTTAGGATTCTGCTATCAAAGCACATCATTACTAGGAAAAGGAATGGATTTACTGTATTATGTATGTGTGTATAAACGTATGTGTGGATATACGTCTCTATGCATGCAGAGTATATACCCAAATGATTCGGGTATAATTTTTAAACATCTCAATAATGGCAGAAAGCATTTTCAAGAGCAGTCTTAAAAATATTTTAAGAAATTTTATTTTCCTGATCCCACTAGTAATTCATAGACACAGTAAAAATTCACAAGGCACAAAAAAATTAATAAATTAAAACCTGGAGTTAATATTGCTAGTATTTTAGTGAGTTTTCTTCTTAAAGTGATAAGAGATTCGCAGTAAAGATCTGGGATAATACTGGATAAATCATTTCATAGCCTGCTTTTTAGTTTATTATGAACACTTCCCACATAATATTTTATTTATTTTTTGTTTGTTTGTTTGGTATCGGAGATCAAACTCAGGACCTCGCACTTGCACGGTAGGCGACCAAATCACGAAGCTAAATCCCTGGGCCCCCACATAATATTTTTACATGTGAGTTTTAAATAGCATCATTGTAATCTAGCAACCTAAATATTTTCATTAAGCTCTCTGTATTTTTTAGGTAAATACAACAGCCTTGTAGAATATCCTTATATATAAATCTGTTGGCATTCAGTTTTAGCGTAGATTCCTAGAAGTGACTACCAAGTCAAAAAGCATTTCACCTATTCTCAACATTTTCAATGCCTTGTACTAGAGAAACCACAAAGCCTTTCTGGGTTAAGCAGCTATCACTGATGAATAAAGTGGGAAAATGATGAATAAGCACTGATGATAAATGGTAATTAACAAGGAAGAATCAATGAGGAATGCACATTTTAAGTATTCAGGTCCAGTGCTGCCAGAACTTCTCATTTTTCAAGAAAAGATGGAAACCAAAATGAGAGTGGAAGAATAAACTAGGAGAGGGAAGAGAAGGAAGAGAGAAGAGAAACTAGATTAGAAAGTAATTTCTACTTTAAAAGCTCTATGGAATATTATTGAATAGATGAACTTTTCTCAGTTCCTCATGATAACTACACCTAAAAACTTAGCATTACATACAAAATATACATAAGAAGACTTTGCAAGGCAGAGAGAAGCAGGTAGGCTTGTGGTGGGCCTTGGACCTTGAGGAAATGTGTATACTGCTGAGTTCTCTGGGTTTCCTTTGTACTGCGCCTAACCAAGACTGAGTACTAGAGAAGTGACAACCCAGTTAACACCAGGGAGCCCAAGCAAAGCCCCAGACAATCCTGGCCTCTGTAGCAAAAGGATAAGGAAAGCGGCACCTAGCCAGAAAACTTAGAAAATAACCGCTCTACTCCAACCAACACCACAGAAAAAAACTGTGAGCCTACTCACACTCGCCAAGAAGGCTGAGTGAGGGGCTTCATGAGGCCATAATGAGGTTCCCAACATTCCTCAGGGTGACATTAAGGCCAAATTGGGAGCCTGAGCTTTTGTCTTCACAGGCTGACAGTGAAGTCCATACTCCTGGCTGTGGAGACCAACATTAGAGCCTGGACTTCCATTCTTCTCTTCAGAAGTAATGTCAAAGGAAGCCTGGAGCAGTCAGGACTTCTACCGCTGCTCAGTCTCTGCTCAGTGGCCACTTGCTGTGGTATCAGAGGAGACTGCGTGATAAGCTAGCTCAGCAGAAATCACAGGCATCCCCTCTTAAAAGCGGAGAGTGGGTTGTGGAGCTGGACTTCTCTCTCCAGCAGGAGGCACACCCAACTCTTCCACCAGAGTGGAGTAAGAGAAAGTAGTTCCAACTGGAAGTGTAACATCCAGATCCAACATCTTGTAAGAAACAGAAGATCTCAAACTCACTTAAAGAAATTCATCAAATAGGTGCCAATACCTAGATGACAAAGTTACCCGACAAAGATTTTAAGGCAGCCCATGATGAAATTAACGCTTCAAGAACATTTTTTAATATTCATGGCTGAAACAAGTGAAAAACCAGAAGGCTCAGTCACTGAAAATCCCTAATGAAAATTCTAGAACTGACATAAAAATTAATGTAGGGGACACAGGAAAGATCAGTGAAGTAGAAGACAGAACAGTACAAATCACCCAAACAGAACAGGAGAAGACAGACCCAAGAAACCAATTAACAGAGCCTCAGGGACCCATGGAATTATAATAAAAGGCCTAATATTCACTTTGGGTCTCAGAAGGAATAGCGGCAACAGTTGTGGTTGAATACTTATCAGATATTCTTGAAATGATGATATTACACAAATGGAAAACAGATGGATGCCTGCCAGAGGCTTAGGAGGTGCAGAGCTGGAAAGACTGGGCATAGCTATAAAAGGGCAGCCCAGGGGTTTGGTGTGATACAAGTGTTCCGTACCGACTGCCTCACTGTCAGCAGCACGCCTACAAGACAGCACTGCAATTCTGCGAGATGTTACCAGGAGGTAAAACAAGTGTACCAGGATAACTCTGCGTTATTTCTTACAAGTGTTTGTGCATCTCAGTAATCTTAAAGTAAGTTTAATTTTAAAAAAGAAAAAGAAAAGCAGCTTTGTGGGTCGCAAGATCTGCCAGTTCCTACTCACATTTTCTCTTAAATTGCTCTAAAATAGGAGATACACATTTGCGGGCCCACAAGAAGGGTTTTGTTGTACCCTCATCATGGGATATTATTTATTTTTAAATGTTTGTCAAGAGTCTAGGTAGACTTCCTTTAATTATTGTTTTTCTTTTTTTTAAGACTTCCTTTAATTATAAGAAAACAAAAAAACTATTTGAAAACTGTAATCATAATCTCTTTCAGTAATTTTCATGTTATTACATTTCAAATGGAACTACTCATTAATAATTATTGATCCATAAGAAAACAAAAGAAAAACATTTCATAGACTAATTCAGCAGCCTCAGGTGTAGAGAAAGAAGTGAAAGTCTGCTTAGTGTGGATTACAGGTTTTTAAGGCACACATAACAGCTGGAAGTAGAACCTAAGTAATTTACCTAGGAGTCTAAGGCTGACAATTTACACTCTGCCTAAGTATAAATCCTGCAAGATATCTAAATAAAATTTAACAGTCATGAATTATTTGTTCTACTGATCCTAGGAAAAATAAAGTGATTTATAACGCCTCATTTGCCTGTACTGAAGCTGCTAAAAGTATGACATATATATGATAGTCCTAATAAAGTCAGGCTTTTAAGTGTTAGTATTAGTTTAACATGATGTCTCTTCCCCATTAAAAAAAAAAAAGAGAGAGAGAAAGCACCCAATGAAAACCAATATGATGATACTATCTAGGTTGCCAAGTGGAAAGTTGAAACTCAAACAGTGTCTTTCATCACATCAAATATTTGATCTAATTTCTGAAAAGTTTTACAAATTAAGTTAGTAAATACTTATTGTTACACAACCAATAGAACAGCCATAGAGTCACGACTCATTCAAATGGTGGGTTAACACATGTATTTCTAATGGACTGTAAAAAACAACTCACACTTACATGTGAGCAACATGGAGAGTTAAAATTACTAGACCAAATGTTAATGACTTTGGATGCTTGCACAAGTAGCAAAAACTGACTTCAAATAAACTATCGATAATCTTGGCACCCGTACTTCCATTCTGGAAACTATTTTAACAGGCAACATCACTATAGTCTAACCATAGTTCTTAGCCATTATAATAGCTACTACAGTTAAACTAGCATTTCAGAAGTTTTATAAAAATTAATGCAAGGTGGGGGTTTAGCTCAGTGGTGCTGCCATCTGCTCACAAGCACAAGGTCCCAAGTTCGATCCCTGGTTCAAAAAAAAAAAAGTTAATGCAAGCCTCCCTAAGAAGCTTTCTGTAAATATTCCTGAAAAATACTCAAACAATAACAGGCACCCTATTGAACACGTTCAGTATCTCCTCTAATCCTGACAACACATATATGATGTTTGTATTACCATTAATTCCATTTACAGCCAGGAAATCTGAGGCAGAGAAAACCTAGCTATTTTGCCACAGATTATCCAGCCAGGACACGCCATCCGGGAACCTGGTTTCAAGGGCACCACTCTTGCTCCCTGTACTTGAATATGTCTTGAGCTTTGGGAATTCAAATTGTCTGTGTGGTTTCACTAAAACTGACTCAAATTTCACAACAATCAAGTACTAGGTTTTAACATAATAAAATATTTCTAACCTGTGATAAACTGTACTTGTCCAGAAAGTTTCTCACGAGTGGAAAGAGATTTTTTAAGATAGTGATCAGCAAACCTTAACTCAAGGACACGCTCTTTATTACCTCCCAGGGCTGGGACCTTCTTACTTTCTTTTCATGTGTATTTCCTTCCAATTTGTTACTCATTATTCAAAACATGTACCCTATCTTCCCATCCTCAACACTTGGAGAGTCTGAACAATAAACAAATCCTGTTTCTGCAGGGGATGTTTTCTTCTATGTCTTTAAAATAAATAGGCAGTATTTTCTCTAAGGCTGATTCCCAATGACCTGGTGATCTGTTTATTTTCACTCCACCTGAAGCACCAACTCTGGACTTTCCTGTCAAGGTTTCTACGGGGCTCAGTTACATAAGCCAAGAAACTGGAGGCTGGGATTGAGCTCAGAGTTGTCACACTCCCCTGGCGAGCACACGATCCTGAGTTTAATTCTCAGTACCAGAAAAGACAAGAGAGAGACAAAACAGAGAGAGGGGAGAGGCAGGCAGAGAAAGGGGAGAGGAAGAGGGGACAGAGAGGGCGAGGGTACACACGAGCTGGCTCTAGGAATCGGGAGAGAGCTAACAGGAAAATCACAAAATAGGAAAATACACTTCACAAACAAACACACTTACTCTGCTATAATAAGGAGGCATACAAATTCCTCCACATTTTAAACACAGCCAGGAAAACACATTCCTCAGGCATGAGTGCAGTCCCTCACAAAAATGTTAGGCAAGGCTTTTATCATTGTACTCCATCAGCTTTGTGACTCTAGAGCACAGTACTAAAATGAGGAGTTTAGCATTATGCTTCAGAATCATATAAATTACACTTTTATGGTACTGTCAGAAAAGTTTGGATCCTCCTACAGAATCTGTTTGATTTGTTTCTTGTTTTTGGCTTGCATTAGTAAAAGTACAGTCACATACCTTCCAAGTTCTGCTCCATAGTAGCCTGCAGTACTTTCTAACCCCATCCACAAAGTTCTGAATCAGAGCCTGATAACTTAAGGTAAACAGGCACAGAGACTTCCACAAAAAGTTAGTAAAGTATTTATCACCAGGGCCCCACTTACTCACTGCCCACCACTGTCTATGGGGCTGTGGCTAACAAAAGTGTGTCTATAAAACTCTGGAGCATAAACTCTGGTGGAGCCACAGGCAGGTCAGAAACTGTAATATTTTCCTCTTCAGTCATCTTAGGAAAAAACTCCATGTCACCAACAAAACTGTTTGCTTTAAAAAAAAAAAAAACTTTCTTTTTTGAAAGAGCTGTATGTAAATAGTTAATACTGACTTACATACCAAGCCAAACTATTTACAAAAAGATTTATGCTTATTCGAGGCATAACATTAATATTAGCAATCTGCATATAGGCAGACAGAAGCATTTTGTTTGGAAAGCAGGGCCCATCTTCCCAGTGTCTGACTCAAACGGAAAGACTGGGAAGCGATGGGCAGATGGCAGTTAATAACGTACAGATCTGCCTTGCCTTAGACTCAGAGGTAGCCTAGTCAAGTTCTATTCAAATCCACCCTTTCACTTTTGAAGTATAACAAATGAAGAGAAACATTATTAACAGACATCTTTGCTCAGGTAAAGGCTCCAGGAACCGCTGGAGAAAATGCACTGCCTAAACAAGGAACCACTCGTCTCTACCTGCTGTGATCTCAGAATGGCAGCCTCAACCTCCTCCACCTTCCGAGCGAGGGTGTCGCTCACTAATCGGCAGCGCTCGTTGTCCTCAGCCACCATTTTCCCCAGTCCTTCTCGGGCCCTCCATGGCACCAGTTCCAGCAAAGCACTGCTCACTTCATTAAGGGAATCCAATAAGGCTTTGTTCTGCTTAGCTTCCCCTTTCAGCTCCTGAAAACACAAATATGGGTAACAGTTCCTTAACTACTTGAGGCTACAGTCCTTTGCTGGCCAGTAAGGCCAGGCTTGGGCCCCCAAGAGTTTCAGTTCAGGTAAATAAACTTCTGCTGTCTAAAATTACTTTTCGAAAAGGAGAACTTTCCAGAACAATTCAATTGTCTAGGTAGCAAGATTTTAGCTTTGAAAATTATTATGAACATTTAAAATGTGTAAAGCAAAACCAAGCAACTTATCCTGTATTATTCTTTGCCTTCTGGGAACCTCTATGTAATCAAGTAACAGAAAAAAATAAATGAGAAGGCTATTACAACTAGAATTAAATAAGCTTCAACATAAAAGCATACTAGTATTAAATCACTCAGCTGACCCCTCAGGCTTGGGGAGTCTGAGCTGACTCCCTTTCACCCACAAGTGATCGCACTGCCGAGGTTGGCATCTCTGAAGAATCATCAGCAAGGCAGTATCCCACTTCTGTGCTACAATCAAAAAACCCATGCTGTGCTACGTATCTCTGTAAAAGACATGCTGTTACTCCAACCAAAATCACACGTGCCTCTGAAACAGATACTTTACTTTTTCCTATTTTCATCATTCTGTCTTTTGTATGGTAGACTATACTCCCAAACGCAAGACTCTTGAAACGAATAGTAAACATTTTATTTCTAGGTTCCTAAAAGTTTAAATAGTGATAGGCTGCCAATCTCTGCTGAGTCTAGCCCATTAAGGCATCCTCAAGCCAAGTGAGTGACAACACGAGGCAAATACAATATTGTTCCTGTGTGGACCGCAGCTCCCTGTGAAAGAATGGACACAATGTGTATAAATCATGCATACTTTTTGTCTCCTGTACGCTCGGCTTGCCGCTTCTCCTTTCAGAACTTGAGTCTCGTACGAGAGTAATTCCACCTCCACTTTGTCCAGCCAGGTACACAGCTCCTCATGCGTGGAGTGCAGCCGCCTTGAGAGCTGCAGCACCTGCTCCAGAGTCTTGGCGATGTCAGTGCTCAGTTTGGTAATGTCTTTGTACCTTGCTTTAATGGCTTCCAACTTATCTTGAATTATTAAAACTTCATCACCTATAATTTCAATGATATGTTATTTCTTAGAAAAAGAAAAGAAAAAATGGGAGGAAGCTTTCTCTAAAGACCTTATTAATGCACACTGATGAAATTTTCTTGGGAAAGAAGAGACATATTTTTCTAAAGATGACCCACCCAGAAAAAGCTCTCACTTAGGTTTTCATCATTCCCAGGATTTCTGACAAATTTAATCAGCTCTAAAATACAACTGTAAAAAGTGAGAAAGGCTATAGTTTTGAGAAAAGCTTTAGTTATAAAGAAAGTAGAATCTTTAAATCTATCCTATAACATGTTCAGTCCTCAAACCAGAGGGGTTACAATACCTGGATTAAGGTCACTGACTTCATGACTTTAAGGGCTGGCTTACCCTGAGCAAGATACTCAACTTATCTGTGCTCTTAGTGGCTTCATTACTCGTCTGCCCTATTCCAGCAGATCCTTACCTGATCCTACCCTCCTTTTCAGATACACAGAAATTGAGTCCTAGACTTTAGGCTTCATTTTAAGGCCCTGGATACTATATTGCATTTCTCCAACTCATAGTGAATGGTAACTGCTTTCCATATACTCATGGTGCTAAACCGGATATAGGTTCAATAAATGACATTTTCCTATGGCCAAAAGAATCACCAAAACAAGTTAGTTTTTCCGAGATATTCTAAAACAGTTCATACATACATTAAACCAAGTATCTGCTTTCTCAGTGATTCAGGCGAGGAGAAATAAAGCCTGTGTATTGCCATAACATGTATCACTGCAATGCAATCTACCCTAAAAGAAAACTGTCTACAGTCTCCATGTTCATTTGCCTTCCTCAAGTGGAAAACTAGTATAACTCCATAATGGGCCTCACCGACCAGATCCTGTGCCAAAGTGCTTCGGGTTATGAGTAATGTGTAACAATGTCCACCAGGAACTTAAGTGAAATCATGAGAAAAGAGTGAGATCAGACTGTTTTAAACACCTCCTGATTGGTCTTCAAAACATTCTCCACAATGAAACCTTGGAATGGATTTAAAAATTATAAAATGTCTTGCCTTTTCCCCATCCCTAAAATATTCTGAAAGTAATGCAAAACGATGAGTGCATGATCCTCTGATTAAAGATATCTCACCTGTGGTTTGTTTTAGAAGTTCTAAGCCATTGAGTAATGCCTGATCTACATTTTGTTTTCTGAGTAGGATGTCCTCTTGTAGAACCTAAAAATACAAGTACCATTTTTACATGTAAGGAAGGAAAATTAAATCTCAGAGACATATTTGAGTAAATATCTCACATTTTCAAACATTCACTGTTCTCATGTTTGTCTTTTCTTTTTACCACTGTGCTCCATGTCCCATGTTCATCTACCATAATTCACAGCAGTCTCTTTTTTGGAAAATACTTAGGAATGTATGAGAACTGGCTATGTAGATGCACTGGTTAATTATGGATCTTTGTAGACAACAATAAAATAACAAAATGAAAAGCGAAAGGTCCAGCTAATTATATAAATTCAATCTCATATAGAAGTGACTTCATTAAAAGTGCCTTGTACAAACAAGAAAAAACCTTTTTTAATATAACGTATCACCCAAATTATAATGTACATAAAACAAGCAAAAAAGGAATGTTAGTAAAAGAATAACTAAAATGAATAAAATGAAATGAAATGAAATGAATCAAAATACCCGCAGTTCAGCCTGCTGCTCCCAGAGCCCCTCAGGGCTGTAATCCTGGACTGAGAGCTTGCTCAGTTTGTCATGCACTTCATTCAGCCAGGTCATCAGCTCAACTTCATCTTCCCCAAATATCTTAGTATTACACAGGGCCTGCTGGAGGAGCTCAGACCTGCTGAGACTTTTCTCTTGAATCTCAATGTACCACACTTGAGAGCAATTTAATTTATTCTGCACCACATCTTTATCCTCCCTGGAGCTCAAAACCTTTAAGGACTGGCCAATGCTAACAGCCTGGTGTAAGTGTTTACTGTGACTGATGATGTCATCTTCTAGGGCCTACACAGGGTTTGAAAAAAAGAAGAAAAACAAAAAAAAGAATGGACAAATAAAGACGAAAAATAAATAGCACGAAAGGATGACACTTGAAATGTATTTACTTTGCAACTACATATAACGTAACAACAGTACATAACTCAAATTTATGCCACAAGACCATGAAATAAATGGAAAACAGAGTCTTACTGATGCGCGATTCATAGCTTACTTTGTGCTGAGCAATCTGTTCCTCAAGTTTAGATGCTTGGGTTCCTATGGGTTCACAATTTGCCAGCCTCTTTTCTACGGTGGTGAGCCACTCATTCAGTGGTTCTAAGGTTTCATGAAATTGCTGTGCTACCACTGAGATACCTTCCAACTGACGGTTCCTATGAGTATACCACGGTAAAGGTCATTAAGGGATGAAGAATGTGTGAAGAATTCAACACAAGTCTGCAGTCATGCTTAACCACTCGTAAACATTTTTTATAGACATTGTTTAAGGTTAAAATTATATCTCTAACATTTGAAATGGTTCAATTAAATAAAATTAACACTGAACAACAGATCGAGCAGAAGCATTTAACCTAAAAGTAACATTAAGCAACAGTTTCTGAAACTAATGAAAGTCTGAAGCAATCCTTTAAAATAATATTGCAAATCAGCACAGTAATATATGCTAGTATCAAGAATTACTGTCAACTTTTTATAACAATTACAGAATGACATGACATGAGAAACGTACCTTACTATGAAAATAAAAGGAATTATGGGAAATTAACACAAGCTACATAATATAATTACGGTATCATTATATCACAAACTATGTATGTATACATTGTGATAAACTTTCAATGGGAATACATATAGATGGAATTATTGTACTCTTTTAAACTTCTAGATTGTCATTATGAATTTTGTCTAAATTCAATGATCCCATCATCCAAACAATGGGAAAAAACATTTTGTACTACCATACTCTGAAAAAGATCAAACAGGAAGGACACCATAAAATGAAAGATATTTCCTACTGGTTCTGGTTGGCAGAATCAATACTGTCAAAATAGCCATACTTTTAAACCTGGTATATACATTTAATGCAATCCCAATCAAAATACCTACAGAATTAGAGAAAATAATCCTAAAATTCATATGGAACCAGAAGAGACCAAGAATGGCAAAAGCCATTCTAGATAACAAAAGCAAAATAGCAGGCATCATGATCCTCAACTCCAAGTTGTATTATAAAGCCACAGGGTAAAACAGCAAGTTCCAAAACAGTATGCTACAAAAACAAATACACAGACCAGTGATACAGAATAGAGGATGCAGAAACAGGCCGAGGCACATTCAGCTACCTGATCTTTTGACAAAGGAGCCAAAAACATCCTGGAGGAAAGATACTGCTTTGAAGAAATGATGCTGGGAAAACTGGTTATATACATGCAGAAGATAGAATCTAGACACATATCTCTCACCATGTACTAAAAAATAAAATAAAAATGGATCAGAGATCTAACAGAAATAATCTATGAAAGATAAAAAAGGTAAACCTCTAAAAAAAATAGGCATAAGGGCCAGAGATTTAGCTCAGTGGTTCCACTGACTGCCTCGCAAGCAAAAGGACCCAAGTTCGATCCCCAGTACCAAAAAAAAAAAAAAAAAAA